GACTTGGCTCAATGTCCTCCCAACCCTTGTTATTCAATTATTTGTCAAACTTCCGTGTCCACCGTTCTGTAGTTTCTCTCCAGTGCATCCCGACCCAGGCACTTTAACCAAGGCGCAGACTCCAAACTTCTCGAGCCAGCCAGTGTGTTGCCAGGGAGTTTACGCAGCTCCTTCTCAACATGTGCAAATAACAAGTCCGTCGTTGCTATCTCCCTGTTTTTACACTTATTCATAGCGCTTTCGATACAATATGAGCAATAAACTTCGGTCGGATAGTCGCCGCTGAAGCCGCCATATTACTTCCGTAAGCAAGGTGGTTTGCTAAAATATGGGTGGGGATACGTTTTACGTCAGAGCGTGCGTGGGCTAGTAGATGGGGATAGGGCCCACACAGACCCATCTCTTCTTTGATTTTGATGGGACATGCTGTAATAAAATCATTGCAAAGTATCAACTGTTGATAAATAGCAGTGTCACTAAAGGTAAAGTAGAGGGCAGGCAGTAGAGTTGGTTTCACTAATCAAAAAGTTAGGATGAAGGCTTTGCAAGCTGGTATGTATTGTCCTTTCTATTTTGTCCTTACTGACTGGAGTCGTTTCAACTCATCTTCAGAAAATAGGAGTAAACAAAAAAGAAAGAATCAGGTGAGAACTTTTTGGGATGGACATAGAGGTGCTGTCTAAGATTCCTCCACAAGGATCTCTCATAACCTCAGAACATGTGCCCTCTTGAGGTAAGATAGTCGTATTGGGGAAACCTCTAAATAAAAACACACCACTTGCAAGCATGATTATATCAAGGTCTCACACACTGATAGCTTGATGCATTAAGAGCTTGGTATTTATTTCTTACAAGAGTAGTTATTCATACAAAAGTACGACATTATCAGCATTCCTCGGACCTCCTCAGCCATTGTCGTCATCGGCAGTTCTATTGTAAGAAACATCTTGGTTCCCGGAACAAAAACCCTGTGCTACACAGGAGCACGAGTACAACACATTACAAGGCTGCTTCCGACCGTTCTACGACAGCTGCCTGGAGGTTATGCTGTAGTAGTCCATGTGGGGTCAAACGACAGTGGGAAGGCTAGCTCGGAACTTCTGAAATTTATTTTAAAAGAACTGATTCTAGCACTGAAAGATTCCAAAAAGCGGCCAATCATTTCAGGTCCGCTACAATCGTTGGGCCGCGGGTGTGAACGATTCAGCAGGCTACTGGCATTACACACCTGGCTAAAAGATTATTGTAGCTCTGTTGGAATCACTTTTATAGATAACTTCGACACCTTCTGGAAACAGATGATACTCTACAGGAATGACGGAGTCCATCCAAATCATCTTGGCTCCTGGACTCTGTCCACACATTTCAAGGCTGGGTTGAGACAATGATTTATCAATGACCCAAGACCAGCTCAGTTAATCCGTATCATTGTGTGGCAGTGTTGTCATAATGCTGCATCAAATGTACATTATCCCAGGGGCGTTGGCAGACACAATGTAAGTAACTTAATTTATGTCCCCCTAACTGCCCTGAATACCTCTGTTGATCCTACAGCTATTGTATGCAGTAATCATGTGCCTATGAATGAGAGTTAAACTGTTAGCACTGAGGCGGTGTGCCCTAGTAGGAAGTCCACTGTGTGCAGCTCACCCTGCACTATCAGCTCCAATATAAATAACATGAGCAAGTCTACTTCTGATAAACTTCCCAGTAAAGCATTAAAAACAATCAAGCAACCCAGAAAAGTGCTAAAGATAACCCATATGAACATATGTAGCCTAAGAAACAAGGTTCATGAAGTCAATAACTTGCTTGTAACAGATTACATTCATATTCTGACTATCTCTGTAACTCACTTAGATAATACCTTTGATGATACAGTGGTAGCAATACATGGTTATAACATCTACCGAAAAGACAGAAATACCAATGGGGGCGGTGTTGCGGTCTATATTCAGAACCACATTCCTGTAAAGCGTAGAGAGGATCCCATGTTAAATACTGTTGAAGTAATATGGCTACAGGTTCATCTGCCTCACCTAAAGCCCATTCTTGTGGGAAGCTGCTATAGACCACCAAGTGCTAACAGTCAGTATCTGGATAATATGTGTGAAATGCTTGATAATGTATGCAATATCAACAGGGTGTATATTTTCTGGGTGATTTAAATATTGACAGGCTTTCATCAAGCTGCCCACTCAAGAAAAAGCTTCAAACTGTAACCAGTGCCTGGAACAGGTTATCAGTCAACCTACCAGGGTAGTTACAAACAGCACAGGAATGAAATCATCAACATGTATTGATCACATCTTTACTAATGCGGCAGAAATGTGCTTTAAAGCAGTATCCAAATCCATAGGATGTAGTGATCACAATATAGTAGCCATATCTATAGTGTTTGAAAAAATAGTGTTTGACCAGATACAATGCTATTTTACAGTAAACAAATTGACAACAGACCCTCAGCACGCTTATAGGGAAGGACATTCAACAAGCACAGCACTTACACAAATGACTGATGATTGGCTGAGAGAAATTGACTTCAGTGCGTCTTTTGACATAATTGATCATAGTCTGCTGCTGGAAAAACAAATGCGTTATGGCTTTACACACCCTGCTATATTGTGGATAAAGAGTTACCTGTCTAACAGAACACAGGGGGTGTTCTTTAATGGAAGCCTCTCCAACATAATCCAGGTAGAATCAGGAATTCCCCAGGGCAGCTATCTAGGCCCCTTACTTTTTTCAATCTTTACTAACGACATGCTTTGAGTAAAACCAGTGCGCCTATGTATACGGATTACTCAACACTATACACGTCAGCTACTACAGCAACTGAAATGACTGCAACACTTAACAAAGAGCTGCAGTTAGTTTCAGAATGGATGGCAAGGATTAAGTTAGTCCTAAATATTTCAAAAACTAAAAGCATTGTATTTGGGACAAATCATTCACTAAACCCTAAATCTCAACTAAATCTTGTAATGAATCATGTAGAAATTGAGCAAGTTGAGGTCACTAAACTGCTTGGAGTAACCCTGGATTGTAAACTGTCATGGTCAAAACATATTGATAGAACAGTAGCTAAAATGGGGAGAAGTCTGTCCATAATAAAGCGCTGCTCTGCATTCTTAACAACACTATCAACAAGGCAGGTCCTACAGGCCCTAGTTTTGTCGCACCTGGACTACTGTTCAGTCGTGTGGTCAGGCGCCACAAAGAGGGACTTAGGAAAATTAGAATTGGCTCAGAACAGGGCAGCATGGCTGGCCCTTAAAAGTACACGGGAGATAACATTAATGATGTACATGTAAATCTCGCATGGCTCAAAGTGGAAGAGAGATTGACTTCATCACTACTTGTTTTTGTAAGAAGTGTTGACAAGCTGAATGTACCGAGCTGTCTGTTTAAACTACTAGCACACAGCTCGGACACCCATGCATACCCCATAAGACATGCCACCAGATGTCTCTTCACAATCCCCAAGTCCAGAACAGACTATGGGAAGCGCACAGTACTACATAGAGCCATGACTACATGGAGCACTATTCCACATCAGATAACTGATGCAAGCAGTAGAATCAGATTTTAAAAAACAGGTAGAAATACACCTTATGGAACAGTGGGGACTGTGAAGAGACACACAAAGGTACAGACACATGCATATGCACACAAGCGCTAGCACACACACTCTACACACTTACATTGTAATATTGTTGTATGGTGGTATTATACATTTTGTATTGTAGATATGTAGTGGTGTAATAATGTTATATGATGTACTGTTTTATCTTTTGTTTTATATGTAATGTAAGTGCCTTAATGTGTTTGGACCCCAGGAAAAGTAGCTGCTGCTTTGGCAACAGGTAATGGGGATCCCTAATAAATACAAATACAGTTCTCTATAAACTGATCACAAAGAAATGAGGAACAGCAGGGTCATTGGCTGCAGAATGCAAAAACATTCCAATACAGTAAATCAATTACAATCCCGCTCCAACACAGGTTTCTATTGAGAAACAGTTATAGTTTGTAGTTTTTCTTCATAAACTAAACAGGAGATAAATGCATTTCCTGGTCAAGCCTGAAGAGTTTATCAAAAAGGGGATTTGCAGGTTACAGGTGGGGCATTCCACCAATTCGGTGCCTTTTGAGAAGTGTAACTTGGTCAAAAGAAGTGTTTGATTTCACCTAATTTAACATCCTGTCATAAAGAGCACATGTTCAACTTAATAAAAAACATGTTTTCCCATCTCAAAAGGTTAAATAAAATAATGACTATAGTAAGTGTAACAGGACTGAATATTTCATCTTACATCAGCCATAAATACCCTCGTGACAGGGGGAAATGGGAAGCTTGTTGTGTGCAACAGGGAGTGGCAATTGAATGCAAGCTTCACAAAAAAAATTAATTGCCAAAAGAAATCTAGCCTGTCTTTCTATGGGTAACAGGGTTGACGTGTTATGCACGACCCGCTCTGTTTCCCACCACAAAGCACCAGAAAATGGACAAAAGGAGTATAACCAGCTCACCTGATTTTACACTATGATTTGACTATTAGATGTTCAATGTTTTTGAAAAAAATATTTCAAAAGGAATAATTTCACCATATTAAAATGAGTTCAGTTCACAGGGTTGACCTTAAATTGAGGGACAGATGTAAATGAATCCCTTATCACATTAAATAAATAATAATCTTCAGAAGTGACTGTCAAAGCAACAAAATAACTAGGGCTTTACAACGATGGTGAAACGTGGGAGACATTTTTGGATTAAGTGGGTTGAAATCTTCCTAGAAGTGACACAGTGTTGACGGATGGAATTTTGACACTTTTGCAAGCCTTTATTCATATATAAAAAAAAAATGATTGAATGCTCCACGTGGTCTATAATAAAGAGCACTTCATTTAATATAACAATTACAATTCAATATTGGGGTACAATTTCTACTTAAAATATCAAAGGGACGCAAAAGGTACTCTTTTCGTGGAACGACCCAGGTATCTTCTGGTTGAGAGGCGAGTTCAGACCTTGGGCGGGGGTTCAGTCCCTAACACAGTTAAGGCCTTGGTGCCTAGACATGGAATGCAGGGAACACAAACCTTCCATTGCTAAAGGTCACAGAAAGGTTGAATCTGATACTCTAACCCTCCTGTTCCACCAGTTTCTGACGCGTCACCATCACAATCTCCTCCATCACCTCCGGTTTTAAGATATCCTTGATCTAGAAAGAGATAGAGAGACAGGTAAATTTATATGCTTTGTAAACACTTTGAAATCTGATGAAAGGTGCTAAAAATGCAATGTCATCATATGAATGGCTTGGATGGCTATAGATTGTGTGTCATGCAAAATGGCTTGCCATCGAGTCCCTTTTAAAAGAATGATCTAACTGAGGCACAATGAATGGAAAGGTTTGCTTCTCTCAGATCCTCTTTCCATTAGCCAGATCAGTACAGAGAGCGTTACCTGATGTGGGAGTGATGACTCGTAACAGTAGAGCACACTGGTGTCATACAGCAGCACTTTGTGTGCCCCTAGGGCCAGCAAGCAGTTCCTCAACCGCGAGATCACCTCCCGATCAGAGAGAGAGACAGGCTGAGGGGGTGAGGTGGGAGAGAGGGAGAGGTTACAGTGAGGAAAGCCAAAATACAATGGTGAAAAAGGGAAACAGAAGGATTTGGGTAGATAATATAAATATAGTAAAAGTCAAACAGTTATAAGCACAACACTTCATATTAACTACATAGAAGTTGGATCCCTTATATTCGCGCTCACAGCTGTGTAGCCCCAGGCAGCTCTCACCTCCAGACTGGTGTAGTATCCTCCAGCCTCCTCGTCCTGCTGTCCTGGGGTGGGGTACAGCCACACAAAGCCATTGTTGCCCAGGATGATGGAGGCCCCACACGGCAGGTTGTGGAAGTGGGTTTTCTGTCTCTTGATCAGTGAGGGAGATAGCTGCACAATAACTCCTTGCCCCAGCTGATGTGATGTGGTTGCAAAATAATATGAGAAAATATGAGGTAAATGGTTTACATTTTCAATCACTTTAAAAACCATAGAACATCAAAATTGTTGATCACACATTGGGTAGTTAATCTTAGCTACCTTTCCGTACTTTAAACTGCGGGTGTGAAGAGAGAGTGCTCCATCTGAGAAAACAGACTGCACCTCTGCCTGAGAGAAGAGCTAGTCAAGGATAATCTTGACCATAGTCACATACGAATTATGAAGCAGAAAGAAGTTAATGCATTTATCAATGAGAGAATGACACTTGCTAGTAGACGGTAGAGCTAAAAAAAAAAAAAAAAATAATAATAATAATCTAAAGATAATGAAGATTCCATGTATTTCATAGTAGTTTGGGTAGGATGGACATTACGAAGGCAAAAGGGCCCAGGTTACAGATTCAGGTCAGAGCAGAGGATACACTGATGAGGTCCCCCTCCTGAAGGTAATCTCTCATGGTGAGCTCATCTTCTGCTGACCGTCTCCTCTAAGAAGGACAGATACAGAAAGATTGATTGATGGTAAGACAGAGAGAAAGAGAGAATAATGTAAATAAATATCCAAAGAAGTTTGACCAACAGTGTCATAACAATATGCTTGCACTGGGTGCTTATAGGAAGAGAGGACCAAGCGCACATTACCCAAAGACACTTCCAAATTCCCAGATCTATGTTGTCTATTCCACTCACCAGCTCTCCTCCGGGCAGATTGACAGAGGACAGCAGCAACACAGAGTCCAGTCTGGAGTTGGTCTCCACCTTCCAGCGCTTCTGTTGCACCTACAAATGGCAGAGAAACACTAAGCTCCAACCACGAGAAGCACGATCACCCCAAGTCATTATTAGCTTTACTGACCGTATCACCACCTCAAATGGAAACATACCTCTGTGATCCTTCCAACCACCACATCTCCAACCTCCCCATTGAACCTGGGAATCAGAACAGATAAACATGGCAAAGGTAATCAATAACAAGTCATATAGTTTTATTTTTAGACAAACAGACTGTGATACAATAACAGAAGATGCTGCACAATGGAAAAGTTGTCTTAAACATTGAGGCAGTAGCTAACCACTGGGGTAAATCTAAGCCTAGGACTACAGACATTACTGTGGCACCTGGTCCACTTACCTGGTCTTGAGCGGCCGTACACAGATGAGCTTGTTCACCCTCTCCACCTCTCCAGCCACAGAGGCTGTTAGTTTTTCTTCATCCATGTAAGTCCCATGACCCCTAGAATGAAAAGCAGTTTGGTCTAATCAAGACTCACTATATATCCACTTTCAATGTCAATGTCATGTATACTCTGGACTCCCGACATTGCTCGTCCTAATATTTATATTATTTTACTTTTAGATCTGTGTGTATTGTTGTGAATCGTTAGATATTACTGCACTGCTGGAGCTAGGAACACCCGCAATAACATCTGCTAAATATGTGTATGCGACCAATAAAATTTGATTTGAACATAATTAAAATTAACTTGGCAGACGTTGTATGATTAATTGAAGAAAAATTTAGTATAGTACAATAGTATAGTAACCCATATGGAAAAGATAAGGAATAATTTACCAAGATTGTTTCATGTTCTACCTGAAACTTGTAAGTAATACATATAGCAGCAAATATACTTACAAGATTCATAGAATATTATTGTAATATCTGACTTATATGGGTATTTAACATTTAGACATAACAGAAATGTTGCATGTATTATATAAAAAACATACAAGAGACATGTAAGCGAAGCATTCTAAGGTCTCACATACATGGGACATTTCAAAGCACTTGCATACCACTGTCTGATGTCATTGAAGCATGCAATGTGACAAAGTCCACCGCGAGGAGGAGGAAGGGGGAAAGCAGGAGGGGGAGGAGTGGTGGAGGAGGAAGAAGGGGGAAAACAGGAGGGGGAGGAGTGGTGGAGGAGGAGGAAGGGGGAAAGCAGGAGGGGGAGGAAGGGGAAAGCAGGAGGGGGAGGAGTGGTGGAGGAGGAAGAAGGGGTAAAGCAGGAGGGGGAGGAAGGGGAAAGCAGGAGGGGGAGGAGTGGTGGAGGAGGAGGAAGGGGAGAAGATGAGAGAAGAGAGGAGGAGGACAGGAGGAGGAGAGAGGAGGACAGGAGAAGGAGAGGTGGGGGAGAAGGAGAGGAGAAGAGGACGAGTACAGGAGGATGAGGAGGAGAGAAGAGGACAGGGGGAGGAGGAGAATGAGGAATGACTGATAACAGCAGTGAATCTATTTAGTTATTAAGTGGAGATCTCTTAACAATCATTCTCTCGATAGCACATTGGTAGTAGTCTGTGATAAATCACAAAGCTAAGAGGAGGCATCATGCCCATAGGGGGCACGTGCCCCCTCAGATTTGTCCTGTTTAATATAGATATAGTTGAATTTTTTGTTGTTATTTCTCTGTAACACTACTAGCCACCTAGGCTTTAGCTAGCCCATATCGGTTCCCAATCTCCTAACCTCATAACTAGCTACCAAGAAGCCATTTCAGGCTATCCATAAAGTTAGAGTAGCTAGCTTGTCTAACTATCTTAGCTGGCATGCCTGCTGGCAAGCAATTACTAAATGTACTGAATAAGACTCACATTCCATTCCATATTTTATCCAGATTTCAGCAGAGAAACATAGTTAGTTTAATTAAAGGTGCTACACATAGCAGCCATGATATACTCTAGATCAGGGATGGGCAACTTTGATGGGGGTGGGGGCCACAAAAAAACAGAACTCATCATGAGGGGCCACAGTGGCTTGTGGGTCTGCGTACCCATTTCCTGCAATTCTACACATTTTGCCACGGGACGGAGAGAAGATTTTGCAATTGTATAACTCATTTCATGCAATTCTACCCATTTTGCCATGCGGCGGATAGAAGAATTAGCAGTTTTAAAGCTAATTTCCTGCAATTCTACACATTTTACTATAGGGTGGAGGCAAATGTTTGCAGTTTTAATATGATAACTGATGTGTTGGGTGTATTGGTTTTTAAATCAATCCACGATTGTGCACCCCAATACATGTCAGACATGCTTTTAAGTTATGTACCCAGTAGGTCCCTCAGGTCCTCTGGCACTGGCCTTTTAACTATCCCAAAGCCTAGGACCAAGAGGCATGGAGAGGTAGCCTTTAGTTACTATGCCCCCAGCTTTTGGAATAGCCTGCCAGAGAACCTTAGGGGGGCTGAAACTGTGGACATTTTTAAAAGAGATCTTAAAACACACCTTTTTAGCTTTGCTTTTCCTTAGGGGGCTTTTTAGTCCTTCAGTTTTTGTTATTATTTAGTTGTGTATCCTCTTATGTTTGTAGTGCCCATCCCTGCTCTAGATTGCAGGAAAAAGCTGTTTCAGGTGTTTGAAAAATGCAAAATACCCAGCCTTAATCATGGAAACTCATACCTAAAAGTGAAAATTGATATACAAATATTGTATTTTCATGTTTTTTATATGTTGACATAAAAGCCTATGTAAAACCTATAATTAAAGCATTTATTTTGTAGAGGTTACATTCTCAGAACATACATTTTCTTGTAATATTCAAATATGTCAAACCATATATTTGTAGGAAATGCAGCACAATCAAGTATTCAATTGTGTATATCATATAAGGCATATAATTTAACACATATACAAATACACCACTGACATATAAGGAAAAACATTATACCAGATCCTGAGTACAGATGACTTATTTGATTTTTGTACAAATAATCTTATGCCATACAAGATTATTATTTGATTTTCAGTATTATTTTCCATATGGGACGCCAAGCTAGCTAAATAACACATGGATGGAGTTTAGCATAATAAATTGAATAGCTACAGTACTGCACAGTCGTGGTCAAAAGTTTTGAGAATGACAAAAATACTAATTTTCACAAAGTCTGCTGCCTCAGTTTTGATAATGGCAATTTGCATATACTCCAGAATATCATGAAGAGTGATCAGATGAATTGCAATTAATTGCAAAGTCCCTCTTTGCCATGAAAATGAACTTAATCCCCCCAAAAAAACATTTCCACTGCATTTCAGCCATGCCACAAAAGGACCAGCTGCCATCATGTCAGTGATTCTCTCGTTAACACAGATGAGTGATGACGAGGACAAGGCTGGAGATCACTCTGTCATGCTGATTGAGTTAGAATAACAGACTGGAAGCTTTAAAAGGAGGGTGGTGCTTGAAATCATTGTTCTTCCTCTGTTAACCATGGTTACCTGCAAGGAAACACATGCCGTCGTCATTGCTTTGCACAAAATGGGCTTCACAGGCAAGGATATTGCTGCTAGTAAGATTGCACCTAAATCAACCATTTATCGGATCATCAATAATTTCAAGGAGAGAGGTTCAATTGTTGTGAAGAAGGCGTCAGGGCGTCCAAGAAAGTCCAGCAAGCGCCAGGACCGTCTCCTAAAGTTGATTCAGCTGCAGGATCGAGGCACCACCAGTGCAGAGCTTGCTCAGGAATGGAAGCAGGCAGATGTGAGTGCATCTGCACGCACAGTGAGGCGAAGACTTTTGGAGGATGGCCTGGTGTCAAGAAGGGCAGCAAAGAAGCCACTTCTCTCCAGGAAAAACATCAGGGACAGACTGATATTCTGCAAAAGGTACAGGGATTGGACTGCTGAGGACTGGGGTAAAGTCATTTTCTCTGATGAATCTCCTTTCCGATTGTTTGGGGCATCCGGAAAACACCTTGTCCGGAGAAGACAAGGTGAGCACTACCATCAGTCCTGTGTCATGCCAACAGTAAAGCATCCTGAGACCATTCATGTGTGGGGTTGCTTCTCAGCCAAGGGAGTGGACTCACAATTTTGCCTAAGAACACAGCCATGAATTAAGAATGGTACCAACACATCCTCCGAGAGCAACTTCTCCCAACCATCCAAGAACAGTTTGGTGACGACCAATGCCTTTTCCAGCATGATGGAGCACCTTGCCATAAGGCAAAAGTGATAACTAAGTGGCTTGGGGAAGAAAACATCAACATTTTGGGTCCATGGCCAGGAAACTCCCCAGACCTTAATCCCATTGAGAACTTGTGGTCGATCCTCAATAGGCGGGTGGACAAACAAAAACCCACAAATTCTGACAAACTCCAAGCATTGATTATGCAAGAATGGGATGCCATCAGTCAGGATGTGGCCCAGAAGTTAATTGACAGCATAACAGTGTGGATTGTAGAGGTCTTGAAAAAGAAGGGTCGACACTGCAAATATTGACTCTTTGCATAAAAGCCTTTGACACTGATGGAATGCTTGTAATTATACTTAAGTATACCATAGTAACATCTGACAAAAATATCTCATAACACTGAAGCAGCGAACTTTGTGAACTTTTGACCACGACTGTACAAGTGAAACTTGCAGAGTATTATGCACTAACAAGTGAGACCTGCCATATCTAGTCAACATCACCCTAGCTATCTAGCTAGCTACCTATATAAAGCAAATGAGGCAAACAATACGTGGATTAATATTGATTTACAGTAAAGAGAAGGGGAAAAAAACTCAGACTCAAAATGTTATAAAATGGGAGCAGCATGTTGACGGATTGTTTACTTGTTCTCGTGAGGTTCATACTAGCTTGTAGACAGACATACCTCATAAACCCTGTATCTGATGTGATCACATCACCGGGCACAACTAGATCTTTTCCATCTAAAGCAGACAGAGAGGGTGATAACGATACTTGTTTCCGAAAAATTGGTAATCTCATGTCCGCAGCCATGTTTTCTGTCTTCTGTAAATGTGAACGGTGCGTGTAATTGACGTCATCAGATACTTGGCCTTTCAGAATGTACCGAAGCGGATTTCCACAAAATCTAGATAATGTCTCTCGACATTCATTAATTTTATAACTTATTTTCGCAATATTTCAAACTGCATGAGTAATAATATGAAATAGACAATGCATTTCTTTGCAAACAACATTGTTTACGTAAGGGTGCTAGTTTCTTTAGTGTCTTGCGCCATCATCTGGATTTGAAGCGATATTTTAACCGACCGAGAGCATTTTTCATTATCATTAGGTGTAAAGAGGGCAATAGATAAACAAACAGAAAATCACAAAAGTCGATATAAAAACAATAGTAAATGTATTATTTGTATGTATTCCTTATAACAAATGTTATGAGTGGTTGACAAAAACAGGAGATTCCAGCGTCACTGTCACATTCATTTATGACTATCCCTTACTTCGAGTCCATATCCACCTAATAATACGGAATTCCCCTCGACCACGCCCACAAATTGGGGAAAACAAACATTTTTATCATACCCCTAAGACATGCTTATCGCTCACCATTACAATAACAGGGGAGGTTAGCCTTTTGGCGGGGATATTAGTGCATCTATAACTTTGTTACTCATCATTATTCACAATTCATTCAGGATTATCCATAATCATGGTAGCATCCAAATTCGTGTAGAAGTGTTTAGAAACATATTATATTCTTCTTTACAATAAAAGTGACCCCAAAATGACCCCAAAAGGGTCAGATTAGATTGTGTAGAGATTAGCTTTAGATGTCCAAAACATTTCTGAGGGAGGACCCCCAGACCCCCAGTCAGGTTATGTCCTCCCCACCAGAAACTCTGCGGCAGAGTGTGTTTGAAGGCCTTTAAACTCAAAACACGCTGGCAAAGTCTGTTTGAGTCAGGTAAGTGTCTGAGTGATCAATAAGACGTTCAAGGTTTTGAATAAAAAATTGTTGGTTTCTTAACGACATATTTCTCTGTCGTTCATAACCAGCTCAGACAGCAGTTGCAAACCGGCCGACTGGTCCTAATGTATTCTCTGGTGCCTCCCCACATGAAAACATACTATAGTATACTAGGTATAAATTCTGTAATATTACTACACTGAATACAAATATAAACTCAACATGTACAGAGTTGGTCCCATGTTTCATGAGCTGAAATAAAATATCCCAGAAATGTTCCATATGCACAAAAAGCTTATTTCTCTCAAATTTTGTTCACAAATTTGTCTACATCCCTGTTAGTGAGCATTTCTCCTTTGCCAAGATAATCCATCCACCTGACAGGTGTGGCATATCAAGAAGCTGATTAAACAGCATGATCATTACACAGGTGCACCTTGTGCTGGGGACAATAAAAGGCTACTCTAAAATGTGCAGTTTTGTCACACAACACAATGCCACAGATGTCTCAAGTTTTGAGGGAGCATGCAATTGGCATGCTGACTGCAGGAATGTCCACCAGAGCTTTGCCAGAGGATTGAATGTTAATTTCTCTACCATAAGCCACCTCCAACATTGTTTTAGAAAAACTGGCAGTACATCCAACCGGCCTCACAACCGCAGACCACTTATAACCATGCCAGCCCAGGACCTCCACATCCGGCTTCTTCACTTGCAGGATCGTCTGATACCGGCCACCCGGACAGCTGATGAAAATGTGGGTTTGCACAACCAAATAATTTCTGCACGAACTGTCAGAAACCGTTTCAGGGAAGCTCATCTGTGTGCTCGTCGTCCTCACCAGGATCTTGACCTGACTGCAGTTCGGCGTCGTAACCGACTTCAGTAGGCAAATGCTCACCTTCGATGGCCACTGGCACGTTGGAGAAGTGTGCTCTTCACAGATGAATACCGGTTTCAACTGTACCGGGCAGATGGCATCGTGTGGGCGAGCAGTTTGCTGATGTCAACGTTGTGAACAGAGTGCCCCATGGTGGTGGTGGGGTTATGTTATGTGCAGGCATAAGCTACGGACAACGAACACAATTGCATTTTATCGATGGCAATTTGAATGCACAGAGATACCGTGATGCGATCCTGAGGCCCATTGTCGTGCCATTCATCCGCCGCCATCACCTAATGTTTCAGCATGATAATGCACGGCCCCAGTTCGCAAGGATCTGTACACAATTCCTGGAAGATGAAAATGTCCCAGTTCTTCTATGGCCTGCATACTCACCAGACATGTCACCCATTGAGCATGTTTGGGATGCTCTGGATCAACGTGTACGACAACATGTTCCAGTTCCCGCCAATATCCAGCAACTTCGCACAGCCATTGAAGAGGAGTGGGACAACATTCCACAGGCCACAATTAACAGCCTGATCAACTCTATGGAGATGTGTCGCGCTGTATGAGTCAAATGGTGGTCACACCAGATACTGACTGGTTTTCTGATCCACTCCCCTGCCTTTTTTGTAAGGTATCTGTGACCAACAGATGCATATCTGTATTCCCTGTCATGTGAAATCCATAGATTAGGGCCAAATTAATTTATTTCAATAGACTGATATTCTTATATGAACTGTAACTCAGTAAAATCTTTGAAATTGTGGCATGTTGTTTTTATATTTTTGTTCAGTGTATATATAAATTCGTACCCCCCAAAAAATAGCACACATAGAACAGATCTACTGCTCCTTATACTTGCTTTCAATGAAAATGACAGATCTATAACTCACATTTCTATGTGATTTTGGTTGGGTCGCTCAAAAAGCCACATTTTGCAGCTTTAAAAAACTGTCGTGTTTTACTATAGTATTCTACAGTATACTACAAAATCCTATAGTAAGTACTTAACATGATCGAGGGATACTACAATGTGGAGTATAGTATTCTACAGAATACTACAGTTTACTATTGAATTCTATAGTACTATAATGTTCTATAGTAAACTGTAGTCTTTTTTCATGTGGGTCTGTCCCAGCCAGCCTAATCCCTCAGGCTATGGTCTCCAGCCCCTTTGTCACTGCTACACTGGACCCAATGCCTCAGCATGGCTCCAATATGAGGAACACCCCAGGTAAAGCATCTGTCTTTCTGCTTTGTTGTCATTTCGTTGTGATATTCTCTGTCATATTTGTACTTATCTTGTGAAATGCAGTATTCCTGTTAGGCGTGATCATATTGTGCCTCTCTCTGCACTGTCTAACAGTTTGTTACTCTTTATTGTCACCTGGGGGTCTTGGCTCCAGCTACAGTTGGGAGCTCTGGGGTCTGGAGGCCCAGGGAGAGTCCTGAGCCGAGGTCGAGGGCTCTTGTTCAGGCCAGTGCCATCCACTCCAGGACATTCCAACGCCACAAGGCCTCCAAGCCCAATTACAGAGCCAATCACATTGAAGAGAGACTGAGGCTCCAGCGTGCCTCCAGTTGTAATTACTCAGGTAAGAATATACATTTGAGATGTACACTGAGTATACCAAACATTAGGAACACCTTCCTAATATTGAGTTGCACCCCCCGCCCCCTTTTGCCCTCAGAACAGTTTCAATTCGTTGGGGCATGGACCAATGTTCCCTCTAATTCTTTTCAGCACTGAGCAAATTTCAGGTCTGCTGAGCGCAAACTTGAACATTGTGAAAATTCTGTGCAACTTCCAGCGCCCGTTTCCTGTGAACACTGAGGCTGTACCCGCTTTAAGTTACAGTTTTAACAGTGGTCAAGTAGGCTACTGTGGCTATTTGATCATAATGTAGGCCTACCAGAGTGTCCTACCATTATAGTGATAGTGTTAACTCAGGGGGAAAACTCTAGAAAATTTAGTGAAGTTCAATCTCGTGCTTCTCTGCGCGAGCGGATATTTCTTCTGCTCAGCAGTCCCGGGCATGCACAGCTTAGAGGGAACATTGGCATGGACTCTACAATATGTTGAATGTGTTCCATAGGGATGCTGGCCCATGTTGACTCCAATGCTTCCCACAGTTGTGTCAAGTTGGCTGGATGTTATAAGGGTGGTGGACCATTCTTGATACACACGGGAAACTGTTGAGCGTGAAAAACCCAGCAGCGTTGCAGTTCTTGACACAAACAGGTTCGCCTGGCACCTACTGCCATACCCTGTTCATATGCACTTAAATATTTTGTCTTGCCCATTCACACTCTGAATTGCACACACACAATCCATGTCTCTATTGTCTCAAGGCTTAAAAATAATTATTTAACCCGTCCCCTCCCCTTCATCTACACTGATTGAAGTGGATTTAACAAGTGACATCAATAATGGATCTTTCCCCTGGATTCACCTGGTCAGTTTGTCATGGAAAGAGCAGGTGTTCTTAATGTTTTGTATGCTCAGTGTATGGAGTATAAAATGTGTTTGACATCTGTGTGGACAGTGCTTTATTAACTGATATCTGTTAACTACAGGGTCTGAACCATTCAAGTGTGAGTTGGATGGCAGTGGTAGGATGTTTCACATCCGGGGGCCAACCACCGGACATCTTCAGGCCAGCTACCTGAAGACATTCGCCCCCTTCCAGGTCCGCCAGGAGGATGGTGCCCGTGTTGCGACTGCCGGATGTGGCTCCCCAACAATACCTCCCTCCAGATGCACCTCATCCACAACCCATGCAGCCTCTACTACAGGTTCCTCCAACACGCGAACAGGGAAATAATTCACCCCTCGCCAGGGAGTCAACACACACCCATCCACAGAGAGTCTCAGTCTTTCGCAGGAGGCCCAGGGAGGAAGATGAGAATCCCCACCAAGTGGTGCAAGGAAAAGCTACAGTCCTCCCAAATAAATATTATTGCTCCATTATAGCCGCTTGTGTGCTTTTGTCTGTCATGGTCTCCTTTACACCTAATAAACATTCACAACACGCTAGTTCACAGGAGGTTGGTGGCACCTTAATTAGGGAGAACGGGCTTGTGGTAATGGCTGGAGCAGAATAAGTGGAATGGTTTCAATTGCCATTCCATTCGCTCCATTCCAGCCATTATTGTGAGCCGTCCTCCCCTCAGTAGCCTCCACTGCGCTAGTTCATAGTAGGCTACAAAAAGGTCCAAAGTAAAGACCACTACGCAGATGTGTTAATATCATTCTTTATTTAGAATATAAGGAAAGCACACGTATTTACATTCACATACAGTTCAAAATTACACAACACTTTCATGAATATACAGAGATAAAGGGACTATTTATTACAGTGTAAAATTTTGATAGGGCTGAAATAAATGTACACTGCTGCGCTCCTATTTCTACATACTGTACATTTAATTGGAATTCACCTTTGTTACTTTACTTTTTCAAACAACCTTCCTCCTGAGTTGGTAGGCCTATGATGACAGGACGTAGAGTGAGGATAGTTGTATTTAATGACAGCATGAAGGAACCACCCAAAAACAAAATCTGTTATGGTAAAACATAATTATCTAAAATACAGAGTACTCGTCTTGACCAATATAATTATTCACTAGAATAGCAAAGTATTTCCTTTGATATGCTGCATCCTGGAAATACTGTATCGAGTATACAAACAAATGAGAAATGGACAGTTAGCCTAAAAATAGCCTACTCTTGGAACCAACATTCAGTCCTTTGTTCAGATTCTCTGTACAGGCAATAGTACAACAGTTTCCTTTGGAACAACAAAGTGTTTTTGACACACTCTTTGTGATATTTTTTTTGACCATTACAAACATAATACCCAGTAAGTCTAAGCAGACTAGATTGTAAATAAGGCAACCAGTAAAAAGTATGTGAGAACGGCTGTACCATCAGCTCAACCCACCAGACATACAGTACACCCAGACACAGCGATGCCTGCCACACCAGCAAACAGCGGCCTCTCTGAGAATGATGACGAAAGCAACCTGTGGCCCAAGTGTGCAAGGGTAAAGTGCAGAGCCGTTTGCATTAGCAAGTTTCTCTCTCCTCTCTGCTATCATAGCACCATGGTGGGGATATGGTGAACAAGGGGGACCTGCTGTTGGGACAGGCTGCTGATCGGTGGGGGTGGAGGTGAGACTTGAGAGGAAGTGTCTGCGCCCCCTGCCCCTGGTCTGTGCCTGGCACTCTTCTGGTGTGCCCGCAGCCCTGCCAGTTGGGAGTAGGCGCTCTGGCACACGTGGCACTTGTAGGGTCGCTCTCCGGTGTGCAGTCGCACGTGGTTGCGCAGGGTGGACGACTGGCTGAAGCGGCGGTTGCAGAAGCGGCAGACGAACGGCTTGTCCAGGGTGTGGATGCGCATGTGGGAGCGTAGGTTACTACGCGAGTTGAAGCCCCGGTGGCAGATGACGCAACGCATGCGGCTGGTCGCAGACGAGGAAGAGGAGGAGGAAGAGGAGGAGGAGGAGGAGGGGGAGCAAGATGATGAGCCGTCACATGAGTGGGAGTCCTCTGAAGGGGAAGGAGAAACAGAGGGAAGGTGAGATCTTTAATTCATTAACTGATGTGACACATATAAAATGTTGATTTTGACATGGAATAGAATCAGTCTATTTGCAGTAGTTTGAAATAAATAAGAGTGATGTAAATATGTTGGCTGCAGCAGAGACCACAACACACCGGCCCCACAGGTAAAGGGGCCTGAGTCAGACAGTGATCTGGTTCTCTAACCCCCATAGCGAGAGGAAAAGGGATCTCACCATTACGGCTCTTTTTCTGATGCTCTTCTTCTGTACCGGGAACGCCAGGAATACCAAGGAAGGTGTTGTGGGAGTTTCCGTACCACACTAGCAGCTCCTGGTCTGGAGGGATAGTCTGTAGAGAGCAAGAGGATGAATGTTAAAGAAGGATTCTTTGTTCCGATGATACTCTCCACCAGCTTTGCGTTACACATCAAGAGTCGCAGATCTCTGTACAGACAGCAGGTTGTGCTATTCAGCAGCTGAAATAGGTTGCCCTATACAGGCTAGGGGAGATTTTACCCTTTTATACAGTCTATAGATTCTACACCAACAAAGAAGGCCTACAAACGAATGGGCTTAACTGCAGAACTTGTCATGGCAGCCACCACACGCTTTCAACGGTCCTTGTGAAGGCTGCATGTCAGAGTTGTGAGTGACAGTATCTGGCTTGGTTCTCACCTCCACGGCCCTGTAGAAGATGCTGCTACCGATCTGCACCACCTCCAGGTTCTGCTCCTGCTCGTTGCGGGCACACTTGATGTAGGTCATCCAGCTGCGATGGTCCTCCTGACTGGCATCGATGAAGTAGCGCACCGTGCCATCCTCGTTGAACACCTGAGATCAACAGCAAGAGGTTAGGAGTCTGGTACAATTTTAACGCAAATCATTACCCACTGGGCACACACTGGTTGAATCAAAGTTGTTACCACATTATTTTAATGAAATTACTTTAAACCAATGTGGAATTGACATTGAATTGATGTCTTTGCCCAGTGGGTATTATTATTGTCCATGTGTGACATAGCCGCTTATACATACAGCTTACTGGTGAACAAGACCAATTATGCCCCCTTGCACATGTGCTTCCTTCACAAAAACATGGCATACAGAGATTCATTGCTGTTATTCTCCTGCCTAATTGTGAAAGCAGTTCAGTCCCTAGATACAGTAGCTGCCCAGATTATTCTCACCTCCCACATGAGGTTGTTGTTCTTCAGCAGGTCCACATGTTCAGGGGAGATGACCCTGCCAGTAAATGGACCCATCTCTGTGCCCGCCTTGATCCAGGTCTTGGAGAAGATGCCCAGGCCCTCGCCAGGGATAGAGCTCTGGGCAATGATCACCTCACTGGGCAGCACCAGGCTAGACAGCTTCTGGACCTCTGCAAACAGAAAAATAGTAGGTTATTTGACTGCTGTGTACAATTCATTAAACCTGTTAATTTGGTTAATCCCATGGTTATAAATGCATTAATGTGAAATGCATGAAATAGAAGGCCTACCCAAGCTAAACAATTTGCCTAAAATACGTTGAGGATAGGAGTGGTTTAAGTCAGGCATTGTGAATACATTTTAAATATGATGCTTTGATAGCGTTTTGATAAAAAAAACATTAATTTGAACAAATATATATTTTTACATGGGTGGTCTAAAATATTATTTAAGCGTCTTACGAATTAGGTGTTTACATTTTGTAATTGCCAACACAGCAAATAGATTGCATCTTATTTTGGTCACGAAATATTAGGTAGCCTAACATCTCATCCACCGTTTAATTCGATTAAATGGATGAATTGAAAGTTATTGTTTCAAAGAAAAAACCCTCGCAAGCATTTTCATCCTCATTCAATTTTTTTAAAGAAAACTCTTGGGTTTCTTTAATGTCAGAATCAAAGAAAATGTATTTGGGACTGCGAAAAGACGGCTTGGAGAGAGGTTAAATGGTCTTCTATTGCTCAGGGTCCAGCCATTTGTCATGCTTCAGATGTGATATTCATTATACCCTACTGGAAAGAAACGGCTAATTCCAAATTCATTATCCTTTTAAGAACTTTGTAGCAATAAAATTGCGCTGAATGAAATGAGGACTTGTTTAAAAGGCCCAGGAATTTCTCAAACAAAAAAATGGAAAGGCGATTAGATGGTTGACATGGTATGAATGGCAATAGAATTAGCCTTCACGGCGCATTATCTGAGGAACAGAAATCTTTTAAGGCGAGAGAAAGAGAAAAGCGCCGGAGCCCATAGCTGCCAAAAGAGGAAAAGAGACTGTCCGGAGATTGATGAATGCGGGATAAAACCCGGGACATCTCAAAGAAAGGGAACCTTTCTCTCCCTTCGGTTTAAGTGGAAACTTTCTCAGGTCAAGCACAAAGTTAACCAAATGAGTTTAATACCCTTCGTCTTTCAGTCAGCAACAGTTACACGCCTAACAAGCTTCTAAATGCAAGGTCTCAAAGCACTAAATGGTTTAATGCGCTAAATGGGTTGAAATAAAAGGGCCAAAGAATGAAAATACGGGAGAACAGTAATGAGAAAGTCACAGAGACCTTGGGAAGAAATCTAGAACAGAGGAGTGAAGGTTCCCACTTTTTTTGGTTCACTCTCAATGACACATGAGACCTCACTGAGGTTCTTGTGTTGAATACATTCTTACCAAATGCCTATTTTACACGCGTTTTAGTTAATTATGGTTAACAAGAGGGACACTTGTTAAAATAACAGAGAAATTGTGAAATGGAAAATAAATCTAGGTTGAGTCAACATGTTGAGGGTATTGGTTTTTTGGAGGTCGTTTTGCAGCCTAATAAAATTAACCATATATATTTTTAAAGATTTCACCCAGGTTATAGCCTATTTGTCACAATTTGGTATTATAATAATTAGGCTACATTTAACGAGACAAGCGTTAAGATGTTAAAAATTACAACAGATAGGCCTAGGCTATACATTATTTAGGCCTAGTGGCTGGTTGCCCGTACAGAAATCATTGGAAGAATTCCAAAAGAGTCAATTACCTCCAACGAACGACTGCGCGAGGACCTCAGCCGTGAAGGCTGTCTTGGGACCGATGCTGCTCTGCCTCTCCTCCATCAGGTGCTCCCCGATCACATTTCTCCACCGTCCATACAGGAAACTGTGCAGAATATCTGAGGTGATAATATCAGACAAGGATCGACTCTGGCATTTAAATCCAGACTTTAAGGCTAAAGCCTCTGCAGGTAATACCGAGCCCATCTCGCAAACTATTGCAAGCCGTGTTCAGATATGAAAGTCTTTAAATGCAAAGTTGATATTCCTTCGCGTGAGACGGCTGGGTGGAAATGTGCCGTCCTCCTGCAGCGAGGGTCCTCTTTATAAGTTGCTGGTCTGACCCCTCTCTAATTAGTTATTAATGACACTCCCCTTATGGTATGGACCTGCTCCAGCAGAAGAAAAGCCGCCTCTATTAGGCGGTCCTTCCCTTTCATGAGAGAGTGTGTGTGTGAGTGAGAGAACGAAAGAGTGAGAGTGAAATGGAGCGAGACAACGATGAGCCTAAGCCAATAGACTACTCAGCAATATAAATGCATAATGTCTTTAATGCAGACATGATTGTAAATAAACGAACAAAAATCAGTTAGAGTATTATTTACATTTTTTGTCGCTAACAATTATTCAACATCCCTTTACACACCAACCAGATGAGATTTTTCTTCATGAGAGATGTCCAAGACTGGCTTCTATAAAACTATTTCCAAAAAACACTTGGTCGCCAGTTTCGCAATAGTTTAAGTAAAATATAACAATCTACACATAAATTCTACATTTTAATGTTACTGAGTAGGGCCTATTTAAATTAAAACACGTATAACATATTATAGCGTAGATCAAATGCAAATATGGCTAAATAATTCATGCAAAATGCATGTTTTTATATTCCACTCTAACGCTATAGGCTACAGCACAATGAGTCCCACGTTTATTTAACAGAATGAAAATGCTGTCCATTTTAAACTGGTTCAACAATTAGTTAAAAAGTTTGTCTGTCATCATATTCAGGTCATTGGGTCTGGGAGTTGCTTAAACGTTCTTTCTCAGGCATTCCGTATTCATGTGGTTGGCAATATTAATTTTCTTCCAGGGAGTTATAGCGCGGGAATAATATAATAGAAACAAGCTCAACGTGCTTTACCGCATTGTTCCCATGCAAAAAATGCAAAGCTGCTTTGACGTGGTTCACTTCTCTAGCCCTTGTTGAAGTAAGCGGTTTAATATTCATGGTTGTTCATAGCCCTTCAGTATATTGTGACAGCGTTTAGATGAGTATATACAGCCCCTTTCTTCTCAATAGCCACAGTTCTCTCTGTTTTTTCCTCTCTATTTTTCGGGCTTGATGGACTGGGGGTAAATGAGCAGTTTTCCTTCTCTTCCAGCAGAGAGAACATCTTTATTCCGTCCCCAGCTCGCGGGTTTCCTATTCAGTTCCTCTCCAAGTAATGTCAGGGGGCTGAAAAGTGCTGCAAATCAATCTTTCATGGTGTTTTGAGGGCACTTTGACACCCATGCACTCCGCCTTTCATTCCAACAACTACAAGGGGATGGTCCGAAAAGTTGGTCTCTGACGAATGTGGACTAGTATTCCAATGGAAAAGAAGATATGGATTCTAAATGCAAAGTATAGAACGGGTTGTTTTGAATGCTGAGATAGTGTAAAGAAAGGTGAGTGACAAAGCACGAAAAAAGGATGACTGTGCAAACAGCTGCTTTTAAAAAAAGTTTTGTTAGGAGGGGCACCTCCTACGTGTCCCTTTTCCCAGATAAAATGTCCCCCTCGCTGAATCTGATTCGTTCTCAGATTGATTTACATTTATTGCATTTCAGCATTTATTTTACAACGCTTGGCGTTTAATGGAAGGGCCAGGGGGAGGGACCATTCTTTATTAAAGAGGGATTCAATTAATTTGAATAGGGTAATGCATGGATTTGATTTCCTTATCTATACATTAACCTTTTATTTTTCTGTCTGGTAAAGCGATGGACACGTCAATATCTATTGAAAAACAATTTAGGCCACTATTTGCTCATTTAAAGTGTAGCCTATGGATTAAACAATAGCCTTTAAATATGCCATAGATTGCTTTCCAATATTTTGCTAAAGATTCTCACATTTTAGGCCTAGGGCAACCAGCCACTAGGCCTAAAATTCATAAAGAAAAATGAAGTAGTTGTATAAAATAAAAATATTTCAGATGAATATTGTAGGCCTACAACAATTAAATGTTCTTATATCGTTACAAAGTACATTAGCCTATATATTCTTTAAACCATTTTTAAAAGGGTGCAATCCATTACACACTATAGGCTATTAATTGTTCAACGGCAGAGATGAGTTGAGCTTAAAACAAAGAGCAGTCCTAATTTCATTTAAAATGACTTATTTTATTTCAATAACCAAATCATAGCTGCAAAGACTCATTTTTATTTCATTTTCGTACATGGCATGTTACTTCAATATTTGTAGTCACCCATGAAAAAGACCAAGCACATAATAACCCTATAATTTGTTTAAGAAGAACTGTAAATCAGCGTTTAACTTAAAAAAAAAAAAAAAAAAGTCTTACATAAAACATTCTTTCCTTAAAACAGTAGTCCTAAAAAAAGACTAAAACCACCCCATGCATCCATGCTATTATATAACAAGCATTCAACATTACAGTGGGCTGAATAAATCATATTAAATACACCAAGCTCCTTTTAGATTTTAACCAAACAAACATTCCCAACCGGAAGACAAATTGCCATTACTTTCTAAGCTGAATCATTCCTGTTACTAAAAAAGCTGCTTGCCAACTACAACCTCAACAGGACATCAGCTGAGAGGGATGGGCAGACAGGGCTCCCCTGGGCTCCTCCTTGGGGCCATTAAAAAGAGATTAAGGTAGACATCCCAGCATGGTGGATACAGTAGATCGGCTTATCTGCATGAAAGGTGAGAGAGGTCCAGTCCCTCCCATAAGGGGTTTCCCTGGAATGGGACAGGGGGCAGGACACCTGCTTAACGAAACTGGAGCTTTAGAGGGGGGCAAAGAGGGGGAATGCAGATGTGTGTGTGTTTGAGAGATAGAAAGAGAGCACCCCCACTTCCCCCCTACTCAGATAGGCAGCCTTGGTACTAAGTAAACACATTAAAATGGCCAAATTAATTAGAATACAATCAAATGCTTGCATTTCATCAAAATCATTTGTTTCACTGTTGACTTAGACTGGTGAAAACAGACTGCACAACATGTAATTGAATCCATTTTTCTATGGACAACCCTGCATAAACAAATCAATAAAGCCCATTTAATAAACTATTCATTGCTGTACAGGGCAGCTATTCAGGACCAACGCTGTGAACAATGAATGAGCCATAATACATACTGTCCACATCACATTCTCTATATGAATACCCCCTGGCGTACACCTAAAACAAAACATATACAGTTAGTGATACTATAGGGATTAGGTTTCATATACAGCAGCGTAGAGACCCTATTCAAAATGAATGGTCCCCCCTTCATAAATCATGGCTCTCAGCCCCAGTCTGGAGGTGATCTGGAGAACAACTAAATGATCACGCCTTCACAATGGACAACCAGGCCAGGGACTGTCCGCAGGGGCTTCATATTAAAAAGCAAGAGGATCAAAATCAAGGGCTGGATTTGGAAACAGCTGCACAGTATCAATGGGGGGACAGGGCCGGGGCAGAGCAGGGTCCACTGTGGCTGAGGCCCCCCACGGGGAGCAAAAATGTGGGATGACAAAGCTTCTCAATAACGGTGCTCTGGGGACACCCCTGTGGACTGGCCACAAAGGGAGAGGGACAATGAGAAGAGTCACAGAGACTACAGCAAAGAATAAGGAAAATTAAAAAATGGATCCAAGAATATGCTCAACCTATGCGTTACATTTGTATACATGGGAATTATAAAGCTTTGCTATAGTATAGAACATTGCCTAACTGAACTATGGGAGAACTCCAGGAGAATTCCAACAAGTGTTTTGCCATACCTGCAAAAGTTGTCCAGCCTGGCTCTGCCTCTCCAGGTCTGGAGGCGATGGTAGGTACAGCGCTGTCCAAATGACATCTCATTAACTACATGAGCGTATAGAAGGACAGACACTAAGGTTGAAAACGATGGCAAAGGCAAAAATAGCATGCACTAATTTGTCCACAAACCTTTTAGTGCATGGTCACATAAGATTAAGTTCACACAGTGATAATGCATTAAAATGGGTTTAACAGCAGAGCTGATCAATTAATCCCCTTTCCCTGATATTGGGATTGTTTTAAAATCAGCCAATACGTCTATGAAAAGCATTTGGGTCGTTCCACGAAATTAGTGCCTTTTGCGTGCGTCCCGTTGATATTTTAAGTAGAAATTGTGCACCAATATTGAATGTTAAAAGCCTGTTATATTCAATAAAGTGCCCTTTAGTATAGACCACATGGAGAATTAAATCAATATGAAAAGACTTCCTAAAGTGCCAAAAGTCTGCATTTTGGCATGTCCCGCCACGCATGTGACTTCTAGGAAGATTTGAACCCACTTAACTCCAACATTTTTCACCATTGTAAAGCCCTAGTTATTTTGATGCTTTGACAAAGTCATTTCTGAAGATTGAATTACTAACATGAAACATTTACGTCTGTCCCTCATTTTAAGGTCAACCTTGTTACCTGAACTGAACTCTCGTTTTAAATTTGGTGAAACTATTCCTTTAAATAAATAAAAATATGAACAACTAATAGTGAAATCAGTGTATAAGCAGGTGAGCCGGTTCTACTCTGCCCTTTTTATGGTGGAAAACTGAGTCGAGCATAACACGTCAAGCCTTCCACCCTGCAGGCTAGAATGTTTTCCTTTCAATTTTTTGGTGAAGTTTGCATTCGATTGCCACACAAGCTTCCATTCCCCGTCACAATGGGATTTATGGACGATTTAAGATGAACTAGTCAACCCTGGTACAGTCAACCCTGTTACTTTATTTGGAACTTAAGTCATTTGTTTATTTAACCTCGATGGGAAAATATGTTTATGAAATTGAACATGTGCTCTTTGACAGAATGTTAAAAGTAGGTCCAAATAAAGTACATATTTTTTTTAACCAAGCTACAAATCTCAAAAGGCACCGAATTGGGGGGAACGAGCATTTACATACATAAATGGTAAGAAACCACAATTACCATATTCATGTAGCTGAGATCACACAGGACCTTGTGTTAAAGAAAAAACACCTTTTATCTGGTTTTATGGGAACCCAAAGATTTTCCAGTACTGATCTTTCTGATTCACCTACACATACGGGAGGAAAGGCAGGAAAAATAGCACTTCTGCAGGTAAATTGCTTAACATTTTCGAGCAAGTGATCAGTCTTTGGGCAACCCAAAAAATACTCCTGACTTTCCCGATGGGCAAGTGCATTTCAAACTTTGTCAATCACTGCAATGCATAAAAATACAAATAAATAAACTGAATAGAGCTAAGCACACGCAAAATCCTAGAAATTCACCTTTCAGCAGGACAATAACCTAAAACACAAGGCCAAATATACACAAGTTGCTTACCAGGACAACATTGAATGTTCCTGAGTGGCCTAGTTACAGTTGACATAAAATCAGCTTGAAAATCTATGGCAAGAGTTGAAAATGGCTGACTAGCTTGACAGAGCTGAATGAATTTTAAAAAGAACATGCAAATATTGTACAATCAAGGTGTGAAAAGCTATTAAAGACTCACCCAGACAGCTGTAATTGCTGCCAAAGGTGATTCTAATATGTATTGACTCAGGGGTGCGAATACTTATGTAAATGAGATATTTCTGCATTTCATTTTCAATAAATGTGACAAAAAATTATAGAAACATGTTTTCACTGTCATTATGGGGTATTGTGTGTGTAGTAGATGAGTGAGTAAAAAAAATAACTTTAATCCATTTTGAATTCCGGCTGTAACAAAATGTGGAAGTCAAGGGGTGTGAATACTTTCTGTAGGCACTGTAGCAACTAATAAAGATAGTATACTTCAACCACAAGAGAGGCTTGCGGAACATTTGAATTTGTGAACTGGCAAAGTAATGTTCTACAGAAAAAAATATATATTCTGTTTATATAACATACCATACAGTTTGACCTTTATATTTACCCAATGTATAGCGGATACTCTTAGTCATACAACAGAGCTCGGAGGAAAGGTGTCACAGTTTAAACCCAATCAAATCTTTAACACTTAATACTGGAATGTGACAAGAAAACCAAGATTTCAAATGGCAAAAAAGAAAACAATTTTAACAGAACACAATAAAGGTAGTCTTGACGTTTTTAATACACGGTTACCTGTACACATGAGGAAAAAACACTAAAATTAAACATTTCGAAATTATAATATCCCTTTTCATTAAGCAATGAAGTTAATACTAGATTCATTTCGTAACTAAATCAATCATACATATATTAGATCACACAAAGTAGAAAGAAAAATAATGAATTAAAAAGTTTTTAGCATTGGACTGTGCACGAGTCCACAGTGTGTACTGGATGGGGCATTAGGGAAACTGGGTGGTACCAAATAAGACAATTTTGATCGTAATACTTAGCATATAAAAAACTACAATTAATTATTACACAGGTAGAATCCAGAGGCTTAGCAGTCTTGAATTATTTAGGTACAAAACATACATAAAAACCTAGCATTTCTCATTTTTGTCCATAGCAAGATGCAACATCACATTTCAAATTACACATTCACGATCTTTGAACATTTTCAGTATGAAAACAGAACAGAAAAACAGGGACAGTTTTCCTGTGATAATGACTCCATGAAAAAAAACTTTTGATTTAATTATATATATTTTTTTAAATAAAGTATTTAGTCAAGTATCTGAGCATACATACATAGTTTTACAAGATAGCAAAGGCAAAAAAACTCACAAAATGCAACATCCCCTTTTCCCATATCAGATCATTGTAATAAAAAATTATTCATTACATTTTCATATGCCTAAAAAAAATTCATCTAAGAACTACAAGTTAAACGCCTGTCAAAATATTAGCGAATCCATCTTTGTTTCAAAAATGAAATAAGATATTGCACCTTTTTTAAACCAGAGTACAATAAAAGACAATGAAAAACAATACAAAGCACAACAGGAATTAAATTAGGAATTGACTGCCATTTGCCAACATCACTCGTATTTTGCAACAAAATTATACATTTTCCTGTAACAAAATATCACAGTTTCATCTCACTGAATTAAAATGCTTTTTGTAAAAGGAAAAGAAACATTTTTACACATTCTTAAAACATCTTATGACAAAACAAAAATTTATTCAAGACTGCTAAGCACATAATTGCGATTTTATTGCAACAGAACTAGAAAAAATAGATTATATTGCGTTTACTGAAATGTTACAACTCCGGGGTTCGTTTTGGCAATGTAATTTGAATCAAAAACGAAAAACTAGAAAACAAAACAGCTCTCTCATAAATCCAAAAAGGATCCCGGAAATTGTCCATTCAAAATAATGGTGTACACAAGTATTTAGTAACAATTAAATGTTCCTGATTTAGAAATATTCTTTTTATTTATTTATTGTATAAGTCATTCTACAGCTAGTGTTTCTCACTAAGAAAAAAGTAAAAGTCTTCAAGGCGTTGCAAATCTAGAAACCTCTGTTACAAAAGGTTTGTTTTCATCCTCTCAGTGATTCAAAAATCTTCAACTAAAGGGTGTCCTCTCTAATGATCCTGCAAAACAGGTTCACATCAGTGACAATGGACAGACATACATTTACAATGTACCCATACGTAAAAATGTATGCACACATGACTGTAAGTCGCTTTGGATAAAAGCGTCTGCTAAATGGCATATTATTATATTATATACAAGTTACAGTACATCTCCTTACAGAAACATAGTTAAACGCATCTACCAACACCATAATTGATGCCAGAATGGCTTTTACATGGGACATTTCATGCAATTTCATGCAACTCAAACTTCCGTACTTGAATGAAACTATGCCTTCAGCAACATTTTAAACATTCCTGAAGTACCACGCTGGGCACTAACAGCCCTCAGGGGGGAAGTGGGGTGGAGAGGGTGCGAAGAGTTGGGTTGGGTTCTTACCTGAAGGCCTGGGGCCTGTGTCTGCTGTGCACCCTGGCCATAGTAGGCCCCCTGCTGTCTGTAATACTCCACCCAGGCAGCACTGTAGTCCGGAGGGGAGCTCTGCTGGGAGCCGGGGCCTGCTGACTGGCCTGGGGAGAGGGTGAGTACAGGGAAGCGGAATGGGTGGGACAGAGGAAGGTCAGGGGAGAGGGAGGCACCAGAGCATAGAGCACTACTGACAGCATCAAACAGTGAGCAGATATCTACTTCCTCTGATGTTATGCACTCAAAAAGGCAAGTCTATTGGAGGAGTTTGGTGGCCATGTGGGTGTAGTCTTACTCTGTTTCTTGTAGTAATCCTCCCATGCTTTGCTGTAGTCAGGGCCACTGCTCTGGGCTTGGCTCTGCTGACCTGTGCACAATATAAAACAAGGATGAGTCAATACAATACACACCAAACGGGCTACCAAGATCTCCCCAATTAATATGTTTGGCTCCATAAATTCAATTTAAAATATATTCAGTTATTCAAACAAAAGCTAATCTACATGGCTGATAAAATCAAGAATCTGCTCACGTTACACCTTTGAAATGGCGTTGATACACTAAGCAATCCAGCTGCACAAACATGTAACCAAAATGGTAAACTTCTGACTTCAAATCATCGCAGTCAAATGGTGTCAAGGTGTCATGACATTTCTGCCCATACACAGTTTCTTTGCATGCAACATCTTTAAACAAGGGCAGAGGGAAGGTTTGATGTCTGGTTCCGAGGTGTATACTGCGCACAGGCGCTTGTGGACATTCCCAGCAAGGGAGAAAGGGGAGAACGGTTGCAGACAGATATACATTTGACAGATGGGTCACCAGTAGGGGCCAACTGTTGCTAGGCCACCCAAACCAACAAGGAAGCCAGTCCAAACCAAGAGAAAGGCTCAGTCAGCACTTGCTTCTATTAAAAGTATTATGAGACTATGAGCTTCAGTACAATGCCCTCACAAAATAACATATTACAGAGTACATGGGGCTAGGATCAATGAGACAGACTTAGTGGAGGTGTTACACAAGCGAGAAGGGGTAGTACACAATGTTAATATTGAGCTCCCTTCTCTGTTCTCCCCCAGAAGACTGACACTTGCCTATCTTTTTATAATATGGCTCCCATGCTTTGGAATAATCCATCTGGCCGGTCTGGGATCCATTGAGACCTGCAACCAGACAGATAACACTGTTGGAGGACAGAGTTACTGCATGACAGTCTTTCAATGGAGGCTGAGGGATACCATCCAGACATGGCCCGCTGTGTCCTATGGCTTGTGGCACCTACCCGAACCTATCCTAAACCCTAACTAGAACATCCATGGAGTGAAAATTGGCTTTGAAAAGTTTCTTCCCCATTTGACATCTCCCAGAATAGAGAAACAAAAAAAATGTCAGCCCATATCTGGACGGTTAGTCACATTTTGAATGCGAGAACTACCCTGCCCCACTCTTCAGTTGTATTTAAATGCACTGCAGCAGCGCCAAAACCAGCCTTAAGTCTTTAATCTCTCCAATTCCCTGTGTCCTACGAACTTGCTGTTCAACTGGCAAATACTTTTTAGAGAAATAACATTGTGTTGCTTCAGTCAGCTCAGTAAGCAGAGCAGAGAGCATAAGACATAGCTAGTTTTAGTCCTCCTTCCACCTCTTTGCCTTCTTTCATTTCTCTGGGGAGGGACTGATAAGCCTGGCATTATTTTGATGATTGCATGGGCTCCTTATATAATCAAGGAATTGTAGTGAAATTGCAGACCGATATCAGTGTTAAGTGTTATGGGTATCCCACCCTGACCCTAACTGACTTACTGGGGTCCTGCTGGCCCTGAGGCTGCCATGTCTGATATGTTGTGCCCCATCCTCCTGCCAGGAATGTCTGGGGTCCACTACCACCACAAAACAAAGAGATATGCATGTTAGACAGTTTAAGAGACCTACGGTCACGGTTTATACAGTGGGGAGAACAAGTATTTGATACACTGCCGATTTTGCAGGTTTTCCTACTTACAAAGCATGTAGAGGTCTGTAATTTTTATCATAAGTACACTTCAACTGTGAGAGACTGAATCTAAAACAAAAATCCAGAAAATCACATTGCATGATTTAAGTAATTAATTTGCATTTTATTGCATGACATAAGTATTTGATCACCTACCAACCAATAAGAATTCCGGCTCTCACAGACCTGTTAGTTTTTCTTTAAGAAGCCCTCCTGTTCTCCACTCATTACCTGTATTAACTGCACCTGTTTGAACTCGTTACCTGTATAAAAGACACCTGTCCACACACTCAATCAAACAGACTCCAACCTCTCCACAATGGCCAAGACCAGAGAGCTGTGTAAGGACATCAGGGATAAAATTGTAGACCTGCACAAGGCTGGGATGGGCTACAGGACAATAGGCAAGCAGCTTGGTGAGAAGGCAACAACTGTTGGCACAATTATTAGAAAATGGAAGAAGTTCAAGATGACGGTCAATCACCCTCGGTCTGGGGCTCCATGCAAGATCTCACCTCGTGGGGCATCAATGATCATGAGGAAGGTGAGCGATCAGCCCAGAACTACACGGCAGGACCTGGTCAATGACCTGAAGAGAGCTGGGACCACAGTCTCAAAGAAAACCATTAGTAACACACTACGCCGTCATGGATTAAAATCCTGCAGCGCACGCAAGGTCCCCCTGCTCAAGCCAGCGCATGTCCAGGCCCGTCTGAAGTTTGCCAATTACCATCTGGATGATCCAGAGGAGGAATGGGAGAAGGTCATGTGGTCTGATGAGACAAAAATATAGCTTTTTGGTCTAAACTCCACTTGCCGTGTTTGGAGGAAGAAGAAGGATGAGTACAACCCCAAGAACACCATCCCAACTGTGAAGCATGGAGGTGGAAACATCATTCTTTGGGGATACTTTTCTGCAAAGGGGACAGGACGACTGCACCGTATTGAGGGGAGGATGGATGGGGCCATGTATCGCGAGATCTTGGCCAACAACTTCCTTCCCTCAGTAAGAGCATTGAAGATGGGTCTTGGCTGGGTCTTCCAGCATGACAACGACCCGAAACACACAGCCAGGGCAACTAAGAAGTGGCTCCGTAAGAAGCATCTCAAGGTCCTGGAGTGGCCTAGCCAGTCTCCAGATCTGAACCCAATAGAAAATCTTTGGAGGGAGTCCGTATTGCCAACGACAGCCCCGAAACCTGATGGATCTGGAGAAGGTCTGTATGGAGGAGTGGGCCAAAATCCCTGCTACAGTGTGCGCAAACCTGGTCAAGACCTACAGGAAACATATGATCTCTGTAATTGCAAACAAAGGTTTCTGTACCAAATATTAAGTTCTGCTTTTCTGATGTATCAAATACTTATGTCATGCAATAAAATGCAAATTAATTACTTAAAAATCATACAATGTGATTTTCTGGATTTTTGTTTTAGATTCCGTCTCTCACAGTTGAAGTGTACCTATGATACAGACCTCTACATGCTTTGTAAGTAGGAAAACCTGCAAAATCGGCAGTGTATCAAATACTTGTTCTCCCCACTGTATTTATATTAATTGTTTTAGCATGGGAATTGTTAAATCATTGTTTTCATATTTTGGTCAGTGTAAGTATCAGCCGGGAAGGTAGATGAAGGCAAGTTAGACAAATGTAACAGTGGTAAAAGGTGGGGGGACCAAGAAGCTACTCACTTCTGATGAGGGGTAGCTGGTCCTTGGCCGAAGGGGTTCAGACCAAAACTGCTGTTGCCCCCCATTCCTGAGGCCTAGACGAGAGAGCGAGAAAGGACCGGAGAGACCACACTTGTGGTTAAACGGGGGGTGAACAGGCAAGGCCAAAGGGCAGCGCTGGCTGCTGACGCACTCCATTAAGTCCATTTGATGGATTCTTCATGTTTAACCCCGGGTGACATACTGGTGGACGGTAGGGCCACAAGAACCAGTTGCACCCCCCTTTGACATGTGCCCTCATGAATATCAGGCCAGACAATAGCTTTTTGGGGGGGAATAAAAAGGACCACCTACCCCAATCTTCTCATCGATCAGCTGGCGGGCCATCTCCATCTGTTGGGGGGTGCCGCGGATGGAGAAGATGCGCACGTTGGGGTCGGTGTTAGGCGGCGGGTTTCTCTGCAGCTCCACATGCGCTCCGGACTGCTGGTTGATGTTCTTGATGGTTTCTCCACCTTTAGGGAAGAGGAAATTCACAACCTGAGTCAGCAACAAGTGAGCAAGTTTAAATTTGACCTCCAATCAATCAGTTAGTAAAACCACCAACACAGTGCTTCCTCTGCTGTCTGATTCTATCCTCTAGGCTTCACCACACATAGCTAAACTCATCCGACTGGGGATTAGTGGTAGTGATACCTACACCTTCATCCCCACTCTATTTTAACATCCGTGCTAATCAGAGACAAAAGGACGACAACACTTCCTCCCCCACGCTGACGAATCAGACGGCAGCTTTCTGACGTGAAGGAGAGCAATTAAACCAGCAGGAAGAAATGAAACTTGGGGGAGAAAAGAGACAAATTAAAGCGTATCCTCTTTCTGGGATGTCGTTAGTCTCCTTTTGCTTTCCCGACTCCATGTTGCGTTGTGTGGCGAGGGGAGGGGGGATACAATTACAACCCCTCTCCCCCCTCCTGCCATCCCAGTGAAAGGAGCGAGGGGGCTGTCCCAACATCAATTACACATTTGTTCACTGGTGGCTGACACTGGGCTGACCCCAGCTGACCTCGCAGTAAAAACGCTCATCCAAACCTCTCCTCCTCCCGTAGCCTCTTCCCTGCTGCCAATAGACTACACATGGGCCATTAACCCATTGTCATCCAAATGAAACTTCTGCCTTAATGAAGCCATTATGAGGTCCCCCCAGTCAGACAGCAGAGGGGAATGAAGAGCCACACTATTCATTTCATGAACTGGGCCTCGCTGGGACCACATCATACGGCCTTATTATTGAGACTGGTTTAGTAAGCAGGACAAAAAGGAGGGGATACAAAGTGCAACTGGCGAGGGACTTAGGGTAAGGGTGAGGGAACCCAGACAAGTTGGCCACCAGTATGGGAACATCAACCAGGCGCTTAAAGTTTAGTGAGAATTAAATAAAATGTTATTTGTCACATGCTTCGTAAACAAAGTGTAGACTAACAGTGAAACGCTTACTTACGAGACCTTCCCAACAATGCAGAGAGAAAAAAAAGAAATAACACAAGGAATAAATACACAATGATTAACGATAACTTGCCTATATACACAGGGCACCAGTACTGAGTCGATGTGCAGGGGTACGAGGTAATTGAGGTAGATATGTACATATAGGTAGGGATGAATTGACTAGGCAACAGGATAGATAAAACCGTAGCAGCAGCGTATGTGATGAGTCAAGACAATGCAAAAAAGGGTCAATGCAGATAGTTAACCAATAGCTACAATGACAAATATTTTGCAGTCTTATGGCTTGGGGGTAGAAGCTGTTCAGGGTTCTGTTGGTTCCAGACTTCGGTACCGCTTAACGTGAGGTAGCAGAGAGAACAGTCTGACTTGGGTGGCTGGAGTCTTGGACAATTTCTAGGGCCTTCCTCTGACACTGCCTGGTATATAGGTCCTGGGTGGCAGGAAGCTCAGCCTCAGTGATGTACTGGGTAAAATGCACAACCCTCTGTTGCGCCTTGGTACAAGCCATGGTATATTTCATCTAAAAACCAGTAGGCGTATAGTTCAACCCAATAAAAAAAAGCAAAAACGTTTAAAGTAGAAAAGATAAAGCATGGGAGTATGGGTGAAGGGCCTAAAATTAAAACACCCACCACCTGCGGGAAGATTTTGGCATTGGCGGGTAAGATGCCCATTACACCAGCCACGTTGGCGGGTGGTCCTGGCTCCACAGTGCGAGCATTTCACTCGCATTTGTGAATAAAAAGTCAAGTATGATCACATTTATGGTAAAAATAAATGCTGCAGTAACTGCTTTCAAAGTATTTTTCTGTTTCGTTTAATAGCTGGTCAATTAATCGCACAAAGTCGAAGAACTACAAATCCTATATAGCCTATTCCACCTCGCGCTGCAACTCTGCCTGGCCGGGGGCTGTGCGCACGTAAAGACCAGAGTGAAAGACATTTTTAGAAGCGCTGCGGCACAGGCATAAAAGTTGGTCTAATTTACTTGAAACTAAAAAGTCTACTGAGGTGAGATTTTATCCTTGTGTTTCTTGGCAATTTACATTGTTCTTGTCTCAAGCTAGGTTGTTTTTCTATGTTTGAGTTTCAACTGCTAGGGAAAAGAAGACAATGCTTCTACTCGTCAGACTCAATATCACAAGCACAAACATGACTAGAGTCGCGCTACCTACCACGGTAACCTCCCGCCCTTAAAGGAGCAGGTGATATTTTGGTTAAAAGACTGTCACAAAAAATTAAATTAAACAATGTACCACAATACTTCTTATTAATAATGCATTTATTGTTTTAGAAACATTACAAACATGCTCATCCATTGTGTTTTGTTGGTGTTATTTTAGCGGGGAAAAAATTATTTGGCTGGTAAAGAATCTGACTCGCTGGTAGATTTTTTAATCTACCTGCCACAGTGGCTGGTGGACCAAAAAGTACATTTTATGCCCTGTATGGGTAGGTGGGTGGCGTGAGCCCCAAGTTACCAGGCTCTGTGTGTTTTTGGGGGTGTAATCAGTGGGTCAAGCAGCTGCATAAAGGCATCGTAAAGATATTAATCACCTCAGTCTCTAAGGCTAGGCTGACAGGGCCCAGACCCACAGCCATATTGGACCAGTTCATATGCTAATGCAGGGAGGGGGGGTTCGGAGGGGGACGCAACGCCCAGGTTTATTTGCCCCCCCATCTCACAAAAGCCACTTGACATTTCTATTGCCTTGTTTCTATCATAGGTAAAGAGCCCCCCTCTAACCACGCCCACCACAGCACACACACCCATACGACAGGAACACACTCAGGGCTCCTCCATAGCGCAATGGCCAATGACTTTTAAAATAGCTGGCAATGGAGTGAGCATGAATGGCCAATAAGCTAATTCCTCTCATTCATTCCCTCACTCCACTCAATTGAGCTGAAAGGGCCTCATTAGATGCCAGGAAACCTTCCACGTGATTGAGGGCTGTTATTATGAACCTTTAACAATTAATGTCACATTACATGCATTATCCCTGTCATTAAGCCCTTAGGGACGGGACAGAATGCCACTTGTGCTGCATACATGAGCCAGGGGAGGGGGTGAGGTGAAGGGGTGATTGGAGGGAAGGGAGGGTGAGGGGGTGGCTGGACCCACACCATACTGGCTCATTGTGCAACTTTAAATGGCATTTCATCACGAGAGAACAAGCACAAGCTAATGGACTGGCAATGATTCACTTTGGGCATAATCAAGGTTCTTGATAAATTGCGTATGCCTCTTAAGTGATGAACACCACTGGTAAAAGAAAGACTCAAATGAAAGACGAAATTACGCATTAACGCTTGGTTTTCCCCGAGTAGGCACAGTTGGGGATGTCCTCAGTTTATGTATTTTGTACTTTTCCTTTTGAAAAAAGATCCCATACAGTAAAGTACACACACTAAAGGGTCAAAAAATATGTTTTGAGCAAAATAGTTTTTTTTGACAACTGAAAACTTCAAGGAGAAGGGCATTCAAAGAGTTGGTCTGATGTGACGTCATTGGCCTCCCACCTTGCTTGAGGAACAATATAGAACCAACGAGTAAATGCGCCCCTCTTGTTCCATTTCATACCTGGACCACCTATTGAGATGTGCCTTTGTTAAGTAACTCGGGTGTTAAATGGGGTGAAAAGGAGACTGGAGTAGGACTTTAAATTGGTTATTGGCTCACTCACAAATGCTTCCAAATGATGACAAAGATTGGTGGTTGTCAAGACCCATTACCAACAACAACAAACGTAAAACTACCCAAATTATTTACTCAACGTGTTTGCTTTCTCACCTTTTCCAATCACCAGGCCACACTTGTCGGCAGGTATTGAGTACGTCACCTCCTGCAGTCCACCGGGCGCACCCATGTTCCAGTCTCCGCGGCCTCTGCCCCGGCCTCTGGGCCCCACGGGACTCCCAAAGCCATCCCGCTCCTGTAGAGAGGAACCAGAGCGTGAGAACAGGCTCCTAAACAGACACCATAGCACACCCAAAAGCACAAACATTTGACACATTCCCCTCTAACATTTCCCCCCAAATATCAACAGTGAAGCAATGTCCGAGGTCAAATTAAAGAAATTAAATACTTCAGATTGATAGGCATTCTCTTCAAATTCATGTGACTTGCATTATTTCACCTTGGGCCCGATAGAAAGAGTAAACCCTGGGATATGACCAAGTGTGCCACCATGTGGGAGCCGGTATGCTCCAGGGTTGGAGACATGCCTCAGAGACTAGGCTCACCCACCCAGTGTAAGTTCTGTGCTCAGGGGCAGTGGATCAGGTGACAGAGAAACTAGTGAGGAGGTGGAGACCCACTGCCCTGTTACCTGTCTGTACACCTGTCTGAGGAGGTCCCCCCCACCACCCAGCCACATGGCTAGGGGGTCCAGAGAGGCTTGAGTCAGGGTCAGGCTGGCCCTGTCCGGGAGCCAGCCAGCTAGGGAGGACTGCTACACATGCAACAAGGAGTTTAAGGGGGGCATAGCTTACTTAGAAATACTGTAAGGCAGGAGTGAACCAATCTGATACATTTCATAAGGGGTTGTTTATTTCATGGCAAAACATTTAAAGTAAAAAAAAAATGGAATGAGTGCTGTACCTGTACCTGTGCCGTGTGGACCAGCTCGTTGATGAGGTGCACTGCATGCTGGCAGCGGTCAGACTGGCCCATCACCTGGGCAATCCGGTCGGGACTGATGCCATCGTCTGAAGGAGAGGGGGACACTAGTCAGAACTGTAATATTAAATGTGGTTCTTTGTAGCCCAGTTGGTAGAGCATGGCGCTTGTAACGCCAGAGTAGTGGTTTCGAGTCACAGGATCACCCATACGTAAAAAGTATGCATGCATGACTAAGTCGCTTTGAAGTTTAATCATGGCACAGACTCACTGTGAACATCACAGATTCTCTATGACAGGGTTCTTCAATTCCGGTCCTGGAGGGCCGAAAGACCTCTGTTTTTCATCCTCTCCTTCTAATCAGGGGCTAATTCAGACCTGGGACACCAGGTGAGTGCAATTAACTACCAGGTAGAAATAAAAAACAGATGTGTTTTTGAAGAACCCTGCTCTATGACATCATTTGTTGTTACGACCACCATGTGAGTCGATTGAAGAACAAGACAGGCAAACAGATTCCAGATCGATTGAAGATTGAGGCCATCACTAACCTTGACAATTGTATTAGCCAAGCACAACGAAAAAAGCGTTTAGTAGAGGGGGGCGGTCTCACCTGGTTTGAACTGGATCCTGACCCCAGAGTCATTCTGGATCTTCTTGATCATCTCTCCGTTCCTGCCAATGACGATGCCCACAGCAAACCTGGGGACTGCCACATCCAGGCTACTTCCCCCCAGTCTGGATCCGAAGTCTCCCCTGCCGGCCCGGAAGTCTCCCTGGTCCTTGTCCCGGATTATCTCCACCACAAGCTCTCGTGCTTGCTGCAAAACACCCATGCCACCAGCACAGAAAAGGTTCAAATATAACATATTTTAACTGACATACAAAAAGGCTGATTAATACCTTGAATCCTCTCTCCTTGCCTCTTTCAAACGCATTGGTGTTTTTTTGACAATACTGCACATTTTAGAGGCCTTTTATTGTCCCCAGCACAAGGGTAACGATCATGCTGTTTAATCAACTACTTGATACGCCACACCTGTCAGGTGGATGGATTATCTTGGCAAAGGAGAAATGCTCACCAACAGGGATGTAAATGTGCGCACAAAATGTTATAGAACATTTCTGGGATATTTTATTTCAGCTCATGAAACATGGGACCAACACTATACATGTTGCCTTTATATTTTTGTTTAGTATATGAGAAGGCGTGGAGCATGGATATGAAGGAGGGGAGCCAGGTTTGAGGGACTGATTGACCTGCACTTTGTAGGGGTCCCCAGTGATTCTCAGGGGTTTGTCTGCTCCAGTGGGCATGGGGCCATCCTGGATCATGATCATCTTCACTCCTGTTCTCTCCTGTGGGGCGCAAACAGGGAACACCACAAGGTCAACACAAATCAGAACTTCCTATTCCAGATGTAGAGGAAGCGAGATGGTTGAATCATGTTGACAATGAACCACTAACGAGTAGATATCTTAACACCCAAGGCTTTTGAAGAACTGCCTAAACTAGTGTAGTTAACTTCAATAACCCAAAACAGTTGCCTAAGACATTTATTTAGCGGCTTAAAAACTATCACTAAGACCGCGCATGTTCTTAGTACATGTGTGCCTCAACCACAGAACCCACTACGAGCATCTCTTGCCCCATACCTGCAGTTGTTTGATGGTGTCCCCTCCCTTGCCAATGACAAGGCCCACTTTGCTGGCAGGGATGAGGATCTCCTGGATGGCGCTGTTGCCGTCCATCTCGCTGTGGAAGCCTGGGCCGTTCCGACACCGGTCCACAATCTGGCTCAGCAGCCTCTTGGCCTGCCTGGTGGGAGAGGCGGCGGGGCACAGTCCACTCAATTCCATGTTCATAAACAGCCAGACCATGCATACAAACTATACATGGTGGGTTTCTCCATGTGCAAAAACGATATATTGAATAGTGTCAAGAAGCAATTGTAAGGGGGTGCCTCCTACTAGCAGCACTACAACATTCATCTGGTGATGGCGATTAGGGTCGAGTTCAAGAAGGCACCAAGAAGAGCTGGGAAGATAAACCAACACCGCCTTCCTCTTACCGAAGCATTTTGCTTAGGTCTGTAATTTTCGGCAATTTTGCTATGAAAGTATCTGCCGGTCCCAGTTTCACTGTCAACTGCTGACTCTCACTCCCTCTCCACACTGTGACACGGAGGAGGGAGAGATGTATTCTGAGAAGCATCAGCATATGACCGTTCTTCAAAATGCTACGCAGGAAAAATACAGCAACCAATGTTGTTCTAGTTAGAGGATAGTCACAGCTTTCTGTATTTCTCACCTCTTAATATTGAGTTCATAGCACCACTTTACAACCGGAGTAGGCTGTGTAGTATGGTTTTGATGCCCTCGCGGAGCCGAGCGTGCCATTTGCAGTGAATAGGCCTACATCACGTACACTAGGCATAGCGCTGGAAAGCTTTTGTGGGACATTAGCCTACATTTACTGATAGATTAATCAATTAGCCTACATTGCTATATAGCAACAATATCAGAAGAGTTAGAAAATCTAGCTAAGTGTTTATTAGCTGGTGAATAATATAGCTTTTAGGCAAATATGCACAAAGATTTCGGCAAATTCAATACTATAGTATTGAGTAAAGCAGTCTGAGGAAATTGGGAGGGTAGAGCGAGAGATCAAATTCAAAGATGGCCTAGTTTTTAATACTCAAGGGGAGAGGGACAATAGCTAGTCTCCATTTAGCTTTCACTCTGGAATAAAAAAACTACACAAATATCAGCGGGTGATTACAAAAAAGTAGCTGAGAGCCTGTCACAATTATTGCAAATACTTATCTGGTCAATCTGACAGTCGCAATAGCCAATTACGTATAGAGACCATTCATCCCTTCAAAACATCATTACTGATTTGACATAACTATTGAACATTATATTAAAATATGTGTTAGCCTGTGTGTGAAGAACTTATGCTTCATAGGCTATTGCATGGCAATCATGACCACATTAATATTGGTTTAACTCAGACCCAGTGACTCAGACGTGAGCACTTGGACCAGGACTTGAGCACTTGGACCAGGACTTGAGCACTGGGACTCAGACTTCAGCCATAGAGACTCATGACTCGACCTCGAACACGGGACTAGACCGAGGTTTAGTGACTCGACTACAACACTGTATTGCGATATGACCTCCCCGCCAAATAATTTATCATAATTAAATTGCCGATTTACCGTTATCACAAAACATTTCTATTGATCCCAATATGGTCGTATCCCCCAGCTCTAGTGCCACGTCGCTGATAGAAATGTCAGGCATAGAGCTGACGTTTCCTTACTCTACTTGACCAACAATACATTTCTATCTGATCACAATGTAGCCATAATCTTGGTAGCAAGTCCCTGAGGGGAATGTGGTGTAACTTACTCAATGTTCTCTGGACTTCCAGTTAGGGTGCAGGCCCTGTCCATCATGCCTCCGCTGTCTGTTACACAACACAACAAACAGTTCCATTATCCAGACACATTATACACACCTCCATGTTAACAGCCTAAATGCTACCTTATTATTATTGATTAATGTTTATGAAGTCGCATTGGTTATTTCACTACAAAATGCCACATCAATGTATTAATTGTGGGCGTATATATGGTCGCAGACGGGATTTGACAAGGCTTCAGTTTCTCAAAGCTGAACCTGTTGAGCAGGTTATGTCATGCGCTTGCCTCGTACTCAGGGTGTGCTTCTGGGCCTCCTGGAAATGGTATCACAGACCTTAGTAGCTACTCAGTCAAGTACCGACATGACAGACTAAAGTATAGCAGGCCACTGTCTCTTCTTTAGGCAGAACTTACCTGCAGCAATCTGGATCTTGCAGCCTGACTCCAACTGAATTCTCGTGATCTGCTCTCCTCCTCTTCCAATGACTGAGTGTGGGTGAGAGGTGAGAAGGGAATTACAACAGTTAAAAGGTCAATATCCCAGCCCGTGTTAGTTTAAAACGACCCCAAACAGTAAATGTGAGTACTGTAAGTTGGAGACAATCACTAGAATGTCTGTGGGAGTATTATCAACAGCTAAATAGCTTTACTTACTGAATCCAACCATCTTATCAGGCACTTTGAAGTCTTCTGTCATAATAGCCCTGCAAGACACAAAGACGACAATCAATGACCGAGGCCCAAGTACAAAATCATTAAGGGTGTATACAGTATCTACTGTGATGTAGTACGGCCTACTTATAAATTATAGGATTTTATTATCATACTTATGAAAGCTTGAAAGGATAGTTCACCCCCAACCCAATGATACATCTCAGTGTTTCTCCTAGGGTATTCTCAGCAGCAGTGACAGAGTGAGGTTGGGGGGTTGGGTTGGTAGTGGGCGTGGCCAACGGCACGGTCTCTGACGATGTTGCTGCTTTAAAGCAAATCTCATTTTACAAATGGGGCTGAGACAAAATGTAAGGCTAAATAATATTTAACAATCTACATTTTATTAATCTGACTCCATCTAATATTATAGTAAAGCCACATGCAATAAGTATGCGTTTAGCTGACTAAGATCAAGAAATGGTCATGAGAAGCGAATGCAAAACACAAGTATTATTTAATAACTTTAAAATGAACACTACATTATACAAGGCCTAAAGCTTAAGTTATAAGGCAATACTGACATTAAGACAATAATGTAGGCACCAGAGAGGGAGAGTGTTCATGGCCTGAAAGGCCCTGCGGAGGAGAGAGTGTTCATGGCCTGAAAGGCCCTGCGGAGGAGAGAGTGTTCATGGCCTGAAAGGCCCTGGGGAGGAGAGAGTGTTCATGGCCTGAAAGGCCCTGGGGAGGAGAGAGTGTTCATGGCCTGAAAGGCCCTGCGGAGGAGAGAGTGTTCATGGCCTGAAAGGCCCTGGGGAGGAGAGAGTGTTCATGGCCTGAAAGGCCCTGCGGAGGAGAGAGTGTTCATGGCCTGAAAGGCCCTGTGGAGGAGAGAGTGTTCATGGCCTGAAAGGCCCTGCGGAGGAGAGAGTGTTCATGGCCTGAAAGGCCCTGGGGAGGAGAGAGTGTTCATGGCCTGAAAGGCCCTGCGGAGGAGAGAGTGTTCATGGCCTGAAAGGCCCTGCGGAGGAGAGAGTGTTCATGGCCTGAAAGGCCCTGGGGAGGAGACAGTGTTCATGGCCTGAAAGGCCCTGGGGAGGAGAGAGTGTTCATGGCCTGAAAGGCCCTGCGGAGCAGAGAGTGTTCATGGCCTGAAAGGCCTTGGGGAGGAGAGAGTGTTCATGGCCTGAAAGAGAGAGTAGGTACAGTATCTCACCAGAGCAGGTCAAGAACAAAAGACAATCCAAAAACCCTTTATAACATTGAGCTGTTTGGATTAAAAATCTGAGTTGTTGACCAATAGTATTACTGTAAAGTGAACCTCCAATCAGATATCAGACCTACAGGACCTAAAGACAACAGAACCTCTGCTTCAAAGAGGTGTGACGAATTGGGGGATGTGGAGAGCAACACAGAATAGTAAATGGCTTATGCCATGTTCTTATGCTATCTGACTGACATTTTTTGAATTTTAGATTCCCCCTGACTGTCTAGTTTTTATTATGGTGATTGTTCGTTCTCAAAGATGATCCATTCTCTTTTCTACATACATTATATCTGGTTTGAGTCGTTTAAGTTTACACTGAAAACGTTTTACTGTCACGACAAAAATAAAATAAATGCATCATCTTTTTTGGAGTGGCGGCAATGAACTAGCAGTGGCGTGCTAAATGAATATAGGAGAAACACTGCATCTTGTTAGGTTGCGCCCATGTTTCCCATTCATTTGGATTTATGCCTGTCGATTTCTACACAACATGGACTCCGCTCGACTTGAGACCAGTTTTGAGACATTAAAACTTCAAACTAGGTATTTCTTCAATTAATGAAAGTCTCTTTCTGTGCCAAGTTTGATGACAAGAAGAACAAACAGGCCAAGACATGGGCATATCTGAGATGCTACTGGATACAGGGGCAATAGTGAGGTTCACAGCCTGATTGATCTATCAATCAATATCTACTCACACATCCATCAATACAAATAGTCATTTGAGAAGACGAGTCTCACCTTTGATGTACCATTCCACCCAGCTGGTTACCTACTGAGAAACGATAGAATGGGAAAATAGGAAGGGGAAGAGAAAAGGGAAAAACAATTAGCTTGAGACCAAATTAACTCCAAATCACTACAAAACTCAAAAATACAAAATAACCATTTTAGCTGCAGGACCAAGAGGAGTGACTCCGGGTAGATTGGATAAAAAAACAGATGGAGATGGCTCTGTCTGACACACAGCAGGGGTGTGCACTGCTATGGAAATGAGGCGTGTGCATGGTTCAGAGATAGTACCCGGGTCACTGGTTATCAGCGCAGACATGCATTTTGACAGGTTGCAATAAGCAGTGGACTTAAAGGGTCACTGAATGATATGGTGCTACTGACAGAACACCATAAACTGATATCTACAAGGTCCACTACATTTTACGGTCGTTTGCACGTATTTGGTTGTTGGAAATGCATTGAGGTAAAGAAATGAAATGCCTATGAATATAAAGCGTGTATGATGTGGTGTCAATTCACAGACATTACACTGCAGAGGCCTTGCGCTTAGCGTAAACGGTGTTAAATAGTACCATTTAAAAATGACCATTAAGGACCTAACAGGGATGACCGATATATTTATACAGCAAAACAGCCGACTGTTCATATTTTGTGTAGCTTAACCTCTACGGGATCGGTGTCCCGTATACAGGACGGTTGAGCTAACGTGTGCTAATGTGATTAGCATGACTGTTGTAAGTAGCAGCAAACTTTCCAGGACATAGACATGTGTTATATGGGCAGAAAGCTTAAATTCTTGTTAATCTAACTGCACTGTCCAATTTACAGTAGCTATTACAGTGACAAAACAGCATGCTATTGTTTGAGGAGAGTGCACAACAACAAAAAACGTATCACGGCAACTGGTTTGATACATTCACCTCTGAAGGTAAATAATGTACTTACATTCAGTAATCTTGCTCTGATTTGTCATCCTAAGGGTCCCAGAGATAAAATGTAGCCTAGTTTTGTTTGATAAAACCCATTTTTATAATCAAATGTAGGAACTGGATTCTACAGTTTGAACCCCTGCTGTCTCTGGCTCCACACCCACTCCGCCATCTAGATGTGTTAAAGTTAGTGTATAAGCTAATGATCCATCATGTATGACATTCCTGGGAGTGTGTAAACTTACATTTTTTATTACCATATCATTTTTGTATGTTCTCTATAGTTATGTACATGAAAATGTATCAATTGACCAATTCAGCACATTTGGGCAGACTTGATACAAAATAGTCCAGTATTGCAATGCTTCACTGGATCAATCTGAAACTTTGCACACACTGCTGCCATCTAGTGGCCAAAATCTAAATTGCACCTAAACTGCAATATATTGTGGCCTCTCTCTTGCATTTCAAAGATGATGGAACAAAAACAAATAGAAAACGCATGTTTTTTTTACATTAATTTCACATTTCCACACACTTCAGTGTTTTCTTTCAAATGGTATTAAGAATATGCATATCCTTGCTTCAGGTCCTGAGCTACAGGCAGTTAGATTTGGCGAAAATTGAAAAAAAGGGTCCGATCCTTAAGAGGTTAACCTTAAGAAACGAAAGAGCAAATTGTTGAAAACAAGTGATTTGGCCAGCCAAACATCCACCAGAATTGCACACAACGTATTCAGCCATGCATTCAGAGCTAAAATATACCAAACCATGACAGGATAAGAGGACAATAACTGACTGGAGTTTCCGCTTCATGGACATGAAATTGCCCAAATCTACATTTTGGGTGCTTATGGTTAGCCACACGAAACATTCCACCATTCTGCAAAGCCACACCCTTATGGGTTAGCTACAATTTCAGAAGCATGAACCGCCAACTTACAAAATAATAATGTGATAACTAAGGACAGCTTGCCAAACCTGCTTGGTGAATTGAAAACATTTAGTTGGTAAACAAGATAGGCTAGTTCAAATGTACTGAGTGCTCCATTGTCATATGCTTCTAAACAGAGACTGTTTGAGTGAGTAGTATGTAGGTAAATACTAACCTACAGAGTGGGAAAACTATGAGCAATGACAGATATACACTTTAGATACATGTATTAGGCCATGTCATGAATTCGTTCGCAGACAAAATACTGTGTACATTTGAAATCAGAAAAACACCCACCGTTAGGGCCCAAAAAAAAATGCAGATGTTGGAAAATGAAAATACATTTCAGTTACATTTCTAGTTTGACAGGCTTCAAATGACGAGAACAAAACAGAATTGAGCTGAAATGTAAATCGAAGGCTTCAAAGCAAAAATGCATAGTAAACCATGTTTACACTGACTCTTGTGACCATCAGACAATACCTCTTAATCCCTTATTAGATTAGGTCAAGCCATTTTCTATTTTATAACATCCTAATTTCAAATGCTCAGACAGAACTGCTTCCTCTGGGAGAGGCTGGAGTTAAGTCATGAGTAAAGCCTTACATAAGGTTTAGCTGACTTATGTTGCTCTTGCTTTTACTGGGCCTGTAAGCTTGGAATAAGGTAATTTTCCACATCAAGGCTTTTCCCCCCCCATGAACTGGTCTCATCTCATCCCCTGCAATTCCTTCAAGGCAGCTGGACTGCTGCAGCCCATTTGCTGAACTGATTCAGCAGCAAGATGGGGCAAACACACTAACACCTCAGAATTACAATTCCTATTTCCTATAACCACTGCCATAGTAATGGTAGTGTGATCGTGAAGCCAATGCAAGTTCCTTAATGTAGGGCTCACTCAATTGCAATAAAATCCAGATATCAGCTGTGCTGTCTATTGAATTGTTTTAAAATCGGTAAATACACTTAATTGGCATAACAAAAAGTAGCCATAACGACAATGGTTACAAAAATGAATCTGTTTATGAATAGCAACAACTGATATGGGCTCAATCAGCATTATCCACATTTCTAGAAGCACAGTTCCTTTTTCTCTACTTGGTGGACTTGCCTCTAACCACAAACCTGGTTCACTTGCTGCTGCTGGCTGCACTGGGCCCGTTCTCTCCCTTACAGCTTTGGAGGCATGTAACCTGCAGTTTGTGGTTTATCAAGCAACCAGTGTCAATCAATCATATCTGTCGCAGCTAGAGCATCGCTCTGCAGGAGGAGGAAGGGTTAGAATGAGAAATCCCCTCAATGGCCTCTTTGTAACTAGGGATCTGCTTCTGTTCTGACCTAACAGTTAATTTACTTTGTGGTGGTGGACAGTAATCCTGCCCTGAAATAACACAGGACGAGGATGAGAGAGCTCTGACTGTCTGAATGGAGCTACAGAGAGTCAGAGCACTTCCTAACTCCTCCTGGCTAGTGGTTACTCTTCCCACTTCCACATTTCCCCTCCCATTTACACAAGGCCAGCCCAGATCCTAGCCTGCCCACTACTAGTACAATGCCATGTCATTCAAAACGCAACAGACCTGCTATCCAGAGGGCCCCATTGCTCGACATAATAATAATATAATATGCCATTTATCAGACGCTTTTATCCAAAGCGACTTACAGTCATGTGTGCATACATTTTTACGTATGGATTGTCCCGGAGATCGAACCCACTACCCTGGCGTTACAAGCGCCATGGTCTACCAATTGAGCTACAGAGGACATACATACTGCCTAGCTCCTACACCTTCCACAAATAGGCTAGGCTACATGACATTGAATATACATAAACAAGTGACAAGATCTCTCACATTACGTAGTGCCGTCACGACTGATCTCTTGATCTGGGGTCGCTGGTTATCCAGGTCAGTTGGCTACACTACGGTCTCAAGACAGCGGATATATGGAGTGGATTTAAAAGTGTTTGCAATGGCTCGTCAGACAACAGGGTTTGATTAAGCCAACACTATTTGTTAAGTGTTGTACTACACTCCTCATACAGTATGGTAAGATTGCATAAAAACCAGAAGGACACACTCGAGTGCAGCGCTCTTCCCCAAAGCCATTTACAGAGTACCCAGTTGAGTATACTGTAACTGGGTAAGTGTTATAGCTTAAGTTAAACGGGAAGATTGTTTTGTATGGTGCATGAGGGAGAGGGGAGAGACGCACTGCCACCGCCGGCTTACCTCCATCATCCATTGAGTGCTTCTGGCCTCCGTAGCCGTAGAGAGAGGGGTCTAGGACTGGAGAGGAGTTGTTCATGTGGGGCATCTGGTCACTTCCCATTTTAGCCGCAATCTGAGGAGACAAGAGGGATGTAGAGAGAGGGAGGGGTAGAGTGAACAAACTGATAGCAGCACATAACCTGTCCTAGATCATTTAACTAGTTATATCATTAGAAATGTTTTATTTGATCTTTATTTAGCCAGTCAAACTATTACCCAAAACGAAGTACTACTTTTCAAGTTTTAATTTCAGTGGTCAACAGAGCCATTTTTTACTCTCAGTACCCTACAACTGAATTCAATTGAAAGGCAGTAACTACCTAGTTATGAAACTAGATATAACAGCGCCACACTGCCTGCAACTCATCGCCCAAAATTAGCACCTTGCCAACACCAATTAACTACATGTATTCTCCGCAGATTGACATTCAAATCAAAACGGTGCACAAAAGCATGAGGCCAGTTTCTCCCAAACCCCTCATCTGCCACTACCTCTAGCCTTTCAAAAAGTATAGAGTTTCAGAAAATGTTGGCAACATGAAAATAAAATGACACAAATTAGAGGCTGACAATTAGAGCCTTCCATCAACTTCAGGCATCATTATCTACTTCAGAGCCACCACAGAGCTGCCTGCCGCTGAAAGTGAGAGGGGAAAAACAGCTTTCCAACATGGCTCCTGTTCCCAGTTAGGGCTGAACTGGGTAGGGGGCCACGGAGGGGGCTGAGTGAGGGCTCCACCTCTTCCCTAGAGCTAAACCTTCTTTCTGGGAAATGTCGGGGATGGTATGTCAGCCGCACACTGATAAATCAACTACCTGGCAAAAGGCTTGGGCCTAGTAGACTAGTATAGTCCTCTGGCCTAGTAGTCTAGTAGAGTCCTCACAAAACAACTGCTGCCGACTATCAAGGGGGTTTGGGGCAGGCTAGGTCCACGAGGGAAGAAATGCCAGAGGATATTCTGATGCTCAGGGAACATGCCCTCGAAGTTGGTGAGGCCTGTTTGCCAGGGGGTAATTCAGCCAATCTCTGCATACTACACTATGGTATTGATGTTAAGGTTCTTGAAGTAAAAAAAAAAAAAAGTAACTCTTTATTTTACATAAAGGACTTATCTACATTGACATTTGCAAACATATGCAGCTATATCAAAAACAACATTGACAAGTGAAAGATTCTCCGGGTACTATAGTTTTTGGCCAGTAGTTCTGAAAGTAGCGATAGCTAAAAGTGGTCCCTGAAAATAAATTGCGTACTACATCACATATGTGCACGTGTACCACGTCATTGCTCACTCGCTCTGCTCTGGATGCATCATGTGCCTCTTGCTAGATGTCAATGGTGAGGGGCTGAAGCTCATTGGATTTAACTCGAATTGATAGGGGGCTGGCACACGTTGGGGAAAATGGCGCAGCACAGCCTCCAGAAAAACAGTCACTTTCAAACAAGGGATTTTGTGGCTAATTGAGGTAAAACAGTAATTCTGCATGTATGAACTACACGTTGACACATCCAGCCCAAAGCTTTTTCTATTATTCCCATTCTTAAGTTTCGTTTTTGCCTCTTACTTTCGTTTTTGTCCACCAGCCTCAAACAGCTAAAAATACAATATTTTTGGTTATTGAAATTATATTTCACAGCGGTTTAGATTGTACAATGAAATTAGGCGAATTATTAGAATTTTTGCAACCAGTAAATGGAAGAGTGATTTCTGCATATTGCACCTTTAAGCCGTCCCGTGTAGCTCAGTTGGTAGAGCATTGCGCTTGCAACGCCAGGGTTGTGGGTTCGATTCACACGGGGGGCCAGTATTTAAAAATGATGTATGCACTCACTAACTGTAAGTCGCTCTGGATAAGAGTGTCTGCTAAATGACTAAAATGTAAAATGTAAGGAGAAATTACATGTATTTACTTGACCAGAGAGAGATTAGCAACTCATCAGCAACATTGAATGACAGTAGGCCTACTGTTCAGTCACAGTACCAGATACAGATATACAGGGCCTACAGAAAACATAACGTACTAGGGCTATTTTGGGGTGGTGTGCTCCTTTAAGAAAACAGTAGTGCTGAGCGAATAACCAGAATTCTGGTTAGGTGTGTTTTCAGTTTTTTTAAACTAATTGACCTACATCTGTTAAATTATTTGAATTCAATTTTGTTTTTCTGTGCGCTCAATGTGCAGTTTTCTTGAGATAAATCAGATCATGCCAGGACTGTGCGCTGTAGTAGGTAGTTGTAGTTTCCAATAGGCCAATATTCTACATAGTTTAGCGAAGAAAACATGGTAATTAACTACAATGACCATCATCCATTGTCTGGTCTGTATGGGTCAGTCACAGACAGGGAGAGAAGAGACAGAAAAACACGATTGAGAGAAATAGAGAGCTGTTGCTTCGCAAGGTATCTACCTGAAAATACATTATCTAAGTGATTGAAAATTGGTATTCAGCAGTCATAAAATGATGCCTTATTTACTTTGAAGAACTACTAAAATAGTGATTTTGTCAGACAGCAGCTCTATAGAGATGAGATTACTTGGAATTAAATAAAGTCATCAAATAAAACAAACGTAATATGCACAACTGAAATATTTTATTAAAGTAATGTGAATAAATCATGGAAATTATAAGCAGTCAGTAATGGGCAGTCACTACCATATTGTATGAATAGTTGTATTCTGTTTTATAGCATTCAAACCACATAATGCATTTAATGTTTAAAAACATAATTGAAACTGAAAACAGTGATCATTTTTTTATAAATCTAACCGAAACTGACCTCAAAAAGCACTAATCGCTCAGCACTAGGAAACAGTGTTTTGATATCTTTGGTCTCTGTACAGGCAAGCAGTGTCTCTGGTCCAGTTGTATTTTTCCCCCTACGGAGTTCATAAAAGCTAAATGGCCGAATGGCATGGCTGTCCTATTCCTCTTCTCAGAAGCACAGACCTGGGACCTATAGGGAAGCCGCAAGGGACAGCATGGTGCCACGGTTATCAGGGGGTCCCACAAGCGTGGTGCATGAGTACAAAGCCACACGCGCTTGTAGCGCATGGGCACACAGCTGAGAGAGTGGGGGAGAGACCTCAGGCATTATGAAATCGACACCAGAGCACCCAAACATGTGCTTATGCCATATGCTCATCTGGGTTTATTCGCAGGAATGTGTCTTTGCCTGTCAGGGCGATTACTTTATGAATATATGAGTTGTGTCCGTTATGGTAATGAAGACCAATAGTTGCTTTTAAAATATGTAGTTAAGAGGATTTCAGCTAATTATTTTCTTAGTCTCAGGGCCAGGGAAATATGACAAGGTGAGAACAGGTGTGGGTTTTAGCCCTGAGAGTCAAGGCTTCATAAGAACTCGGCCCTGAGTGCAGACACTGACTAGGAATGAATGGGGAGCAGTTGAAAGGGTTCCTTCACTGTGTGCAATAGCCTATGTACTGAAATAATAAATTACAATAGTCAGCTCAGGAAAATTTCACCATGTTGCATGCATGATACTGGCATTTTAAATTGAATAATTTGCACTGCAGTATCTATGTAGCTAGGTGTGGTTTGATGGTCAATTGTAATATTGTAGTCTACAAATGAGATAGCATTGCGAATTCAGAGGTGTTTTGGGAGGTTACAGATCAATACATTCTGATCAACTACAGTACCTAGCATTTGTTCATCACCTGCCCAAATGACATAAGCGACGTACTTTGAGATGTCAAGAAGTAGCTAGTTAGCTAGCTAAACAAATGCATAAATAATTATGAGGTTACAACTCGTTAGCTAACTAGCTAGATAAGGTTAGATAACTAGCTACCGGTAGGTAATTCCAAAACTGGAGTTACGTTATTGTAACATTAACGTTAGCTAGCTAACGTTAGTAGCTACTGAGTGATAACGTCCAATACTATTTAGTGACGATATTATTAGGCAACGCAGTAGCTAGCTAGCTGACACCCTACAAACAAAAGTTCAGTGATCACATTTTCCACTAAGTTAGCTAGCTAACATTAGCTGTTGACGTTGTAATGCTAGCTAGTTTTCCGTGCATGTTAACTGGCTTAATTTGTATAATCGAGGCTAGCTAGTTTTGCTACCAAACTGAATCCCTCGATAGCTTAGCAGCTCGCCAACGTTAACTAGGTACTGAATTCTGAAATTGTTTGACATGGCTACATCGGTGTAGTTCGCTAGTCAACTTATTTTATCCAGTGTAAATGAGCGATTGTTTGCAATTTAACACATCGAGTTGACGTTTTCTGCTAGCAAGCTAACTTTTGACAGCGCGTGGCTGAAATCAGCTGATATTCTGGCTTCACCACGAAACTAGGCCACGACCATACCGGTAGCTTGTCGAGGCTAGTGGTGGTAAAATAGTTAGCTAGTGCTAACTAGCTTCAACTTATGTGGCTTTACAACAGGTTGCAATTTGTTGCTTATGCCCTGCTTTAAAGTTACCCTCACCTTAGTTTCATGCAAGTGATTTCTATGTTGCGTCAATCATGCTTTGCCTGATTAATTTGCTTGTTCTTTTGACTTTATGTGCGTGTTTTGGCCCGCATTCTCTTAATCTGCAGGCACAGCCATGCAGTCACTTGGACCTAGTGTGGCTAGTTAGCTAGCTATGCATACGGGAGAAGTGTGTTTTTAGAGTAAAGGGGGGTCTGTGTGTACGCTGGTAGAAAAAAGTGCACTCCTCCAGCACGCCGAATGGTTTTGTTCGTTTCTCGTCTGAAATCAATTGGTTTCTCTTCGTTGTAATGAATTACCTGTCGGGCCCGGTGTAAAGCGTCGGCGAAGCCATCTGCTTTCGTTCCAGGCTGAACCACCGAGGCCTGTCCCTGTACCAACTCCGCCATCATCATCATCCCTACTACAACAGCTCAGCGACACACCAAAAAAAAAACTTGAGACTAGCGAGCAGATCAAGCAGCACACGCGCCAACCCCAGGAAGAGGAAGCTGTGCCCCCTTCTACACAATACCGCGAGATTCAGAACCATCCATTTTGGATAGCTGTATTTTCTGGAATCACGCGTTACTTGACAGATAGCGTGACCATTTTAACCGGAAGTAGTACTGATGGAGGTCAGATGGGTCGTCACTAGCTACCACAGCCACAAAGTCATAAATTCCGCCTATTTCTACATTTATCTTCTTAAAGATGCATTTCCTGGTTGCAAAAATTATAATAGTTCGCCTAATTTCAGTTTATGTGACAAAACAAGCAAGTATAGTGTAGAGAATCATTGTACCAATTATTTTATTTTCAGCTGTTTGAAGCTGATGTACAAAACCGAAAGTAAAATACGCAAATGCGAAACTTAAGACCAGGAAGCATAGAAATAGCGTACGTTGAACACATCTACATAGGAATAGCGCACATAGAACATATCTACCGCTTCTAGACTTTCTTTCAATGAGAATGACAGATCTATGACTCATATTTCTATGTGAATTTGATCAGGTCACCCAAAAAGTTACATATTGCAGCTTTAAAATGTGATTTTAAACCTAACCTTAATTACACTGTTAACTTTATGCCTAACCGTAACTTTAAATTAAGACCCAACATATATTTTTGTTTGTTTTCATTAATATTTACAATATAGCCAATTTTGACTTTGTGGCTGTGGTAACTAGTGGAAACCGGTCTGATGGTGGTGGGATTTTTAAAGCGCATGAGCAGCATGTTGATCAATATGAAAACATTTGATTACATGAGGCATTAGGAGTGAATGTGTTTATATGTTTTGGAATACTCTTTAGGAATGTTTTTAATAGAAAAATAAGTACAAGCTGATGTGTATTTTTAAACTTGCCCACTTACTATGCAGTAGCACAACACTGTGACCTCCTTTGTTAAACACTCAATGTAGCCTACTCAGATAATGGGCTACAAGGCAAACTATTTTTAAAATGTTTTTTTTGCATGTGTTACAATTGCCTCCACAGTTAGCAAAATGTCTGTTTTTGCATGCAGGCCTATGCCTTATGAATAAAGGCGTGTTTTATTGTGTAATATGGGGGAAGACAATCAAGTAACCAATCTGGTTGGACTCAAAACAGTTGACATGTAGGCCTACAGAGAGATGAAAATTGAGAGATATTGAATTTCCGTCTCATTTTCTCCTTGCACATGTGGAAACATCTATTGTTACACATCTGGCAGATTCCAGCACTTTGGAAAGAAGCAAGTAAAGCCCCAAATTTATAGACGGTTTATGCAAAACAGTTAATGTTCCTTAAATTCCATCCAATCCCAATGCAACAAGAACAAGATACAAGTAGGCATCAGTCCAAAATTAATGTGGAGACAAACTGAATGTATAATGAAAGCACATTTGTTTGAGTAGCCTATTTTTTATTTTCCTGGCAGTGCAGTGCTTTAATTTCCCCCTGAAAATGCAAACAATGTGTTCTCTGTACGTACACTGAGTATACCAAACACTAGGAACACCTTCCTAATATTGAGTCGCACCCCCTTTTGCCTTCAGAACAGCCTCAATTAATCGGGGTATGGACTCAACAAGGTGTCGAACGTGTTCCTCAGGGATGCTGGCCCATGTTGACTCTAGTGCTTCCAAATAGTTGTGTCAAGTTGGCTGGATGTCCTTTGGGTGGTGGACCATTCTCGATACACACGGGAAACTGTTGAGTGTGAAAAACCCATCACCGTTGCAGTTCTTGACACGCCTGGCATCTACTACCATACCCCGTTCAAGGGCACTTAAATATTTTGTCTTGCCCATTCACCCTCTCAATGGCACACATACACAATCCATGTCTCAATTGTCTCAAGGCTTAAAAATCCTTCTTTAACCTGTCTCCGCCCCTTCATCTACACTGATTGAAGTGGATTTAACAATTGACATCAATAACGTATCATAGTTTTCACCTGGATTCACATGGTCAGTCTATGTCATGGAAAGAGCAGGTTTTCTTAATGTTTTGTGTACTCAGTGTATACAGTATGTGTGGGATATAGACATATGTGTGTCAATGCTGGGGGTTGCTTGGACATGACTGATTATAGTGGCCTGTGAGACAAGGAGATTGACGTTGCCTTGGTCTGCTGCCTCTTACGGACACACAGAGATATCAATTTTCCTGCCTTCTCAGCCTCATGCATTTTATCACCTCCAAAATGAAGAGAAGAAATTAAGTGGCCTAGAAGTAGGGGGTTCTATTACCATAGCCAGACTGACACCACTAAATTAAGATCTCACATTTTAGTGAAGTATGATCTTGCGCCGCTATTACTACCATGTGCTCGGTAATGTATTCAGACTCAGGGATGGGTAGGAAGGGAAGTACAATTCTGGTAGCAAAGCGTTAGTCAGGCGTTCACACAGAACCATTAAAGATTCAGCCGCCTGCAGCCCCCAGTCTCTCTCTCTCCCAGCGGTGCAGGAGAACAGGGATAGCCAAAGCAGGTGTGGTGGGCCTCTGGAGTCCTGCCAGTCAACAGTGGGAACTTTCATGAGAATGGAGGGGGTGGTGGGGCGTGCAGAGTGTGGTTACCATACGAGGCTGATCAAGTGTCATGTTGCTCCCTCTCCTCTCCATCATTGTTGAGAAGGGTCTCTTGTCTCCTGGGTTGTCTGTGGTGAAATGTACACATTTTCTCACTGTGTGTGTCTGTGTGTGTGGCAAGAGCTAAGCTTTACAACAACAGAAATGTACAAACTTTCTCACTGTGTGTGTCTGTGTGTGTGGCAAGAGCTAAGCTTTACAACAACAGGCTGAAGAATAACCAGCCTGTGGGATTCCTTCCAAATTACAAAAACATGACTTTCCTCTGAATGTTCCACTTGCTTCAGGCTTGTGACGTAGACCTACCACAGTATAAATGGGTTAGGAGGAATAAATGCACATATACAATTGACCAGCAATTGTCAGTCTCCATAGCTGCGTTTAGACAGGCAGCCCAATTCTGATATTTTTTTAATTAATTGGTCTTTTAACCAATCAGATCAGCTCTGAAAAAGAGCTGATGTGAAAAGATCTGATGTGATTGGTCAATAGACCAATTAGTGGAAAAATATCAGAATCGGGCTGCTGTCTAAATGCAGGTGTTTGAACTGGTTTCGAGTGAAGTACAGTACTGCTAAGCCTACGCATTCATGCAGTTGTGAAAAAAGTGCAAGCATACATATCTGACTGCTCATTTGCCTTTTAAAATGCATTTGTTGATATGAGTGAGGATTTGCATCTTTCTCAAAGTGTTTTATCAACAGACAATATAAAACATATTGGTTGCTTACGAGCTATAATATCGGTGGTATATGAATAACTGAGCACAGATGGTCAGAGGACAACATATGGCCAATACTTTGAACATTGACACTGTCACTCATTAAATGACAGACATACTATAAATGCTTTGATTGCGCTACATTATAGATGACCCCAGAACCATTAAATATCCAGATATTGGGCTTGTTCAGTAATCACTTTGAAAAAATAAACATATGTGGACAGAAGCTATAAATAAGAAGCTAATTTAACACCATTTTAAATGACAACATCTCAGAAAATGCAGGATTATGAAAACAGTACCTTTCTGGGGATTGTTGGGAAATAGAAAGGTTAAACACAAACACTAGCACACTTATCCCAGTTGCCGCTGAATATTTCACCCTCTCTCCCTCAAGAAGGGGCCATATGAAACTGTAATTGCCTTATAATTGCAGTAGCTCTCAGCATGGATGTGGAATTCTAAAGGCAGGATACATACAGGGATATTGTTTCATTGAGAACCCTCTTAAGTATCCCTATCTCTGTCCAGCTTTCAGTTTTCCTTCAAATACAAATCATTGTCTATGGAGAGAGGAAATCTCCCCCCCAAAAAGTTTCATAAAATGCAACTTCAAAGGCAGTAAAGAGGAAATATCATTTTCACTACCAGTGTAGTGTAATTATAAGAAAACTACAGACAAAAGGAAAATGAAAAAGGATATCAGGCAGGAGGAAAAGGCAACTGATCAGTAAGTATCACTTTGATACAAAAGTGAAAAAGAACGGAGAAACTAAATGAAACTGAATGATGGCTGGAGAAGGAGTACCTTAAAATAAAAAATAAAACATCCCTGACAGGTCAAATCCTGCAATACAAAAAAAGATTGACGGATGAACATTTGAAAACAGACTGGCTTTCTCCAATAACAGGAAATGTACACGTTTACCTCCTTATTCCCCCCCCCCCTTTTCTTTTCAGCTTCCTCAGCCCCCAACCCCCAGCCACTTTGCTTTGATTCAGCTCTGTATCTGTATTTTAAATGGCTCAATTACATCGGATCCTGTGGTGAAAATTACGGATATTTTCCACTATTTCTCTCTCTCCTCTGGGACAGCATGACCCCTCCCTGCCACCAATCAACCCCACCTCTTCCCTCCACCACTCTCTCCTGCCCTCCCTCCCCACCTGTCCTATTCTTCTCTTCTTTCCCCAGCTCTTTCCTCTGAAAAGATTCACTTTATTGTGTATGTCTATCTGCGACTGAGAGGGTGTTTGGCTGCCATTTTCCCAGCAGCTAAATCTTCGCCTGTCATCACTGCATAAGTCAAAGTCTAAAGTGAATCCTTTCCGATGACAGGAGCCCACAGTGCTTACAGCCACTCAAACCCACCCAGACAGAAATAAAAACCCACATCAGCAGGAATAGTAAACAGAATATACTTGATACTTTAAAAGCAACAGACATTTCCCTTCAGGCTCACAGTTTACAACCCTGGTTAATGTGTATGTCTGTTTCCACAACAATGAAAATGAATATCACATGGAAACGAAAATAACGTCAAGGAAGTATTTATAAAATGCAAGTTGTTCCGATTGATTATTCTCTCTCATTGTGTGAGAAAGACATGGATCTACAGTTGAATTCTGTCTCGTTTGATTCCATTTGCTCTTCAACAGGGATTATATCAGAATATGATGTGCTTCATCTAG